ACTACACTGAACAGTGATGGTTCACTCGTAGGTGTGCAATGAAAGCAGAGTTGCTTCTGACAGACATGACATTTTATTTAAAAAGAATAAAACACAGCAGTACAACATAGGAAAGTACAATTAGTGTTGATTAAATAATTACAGTACAGTGTTATACTTCCTGCTGAGGCTCTGCAAGCTAAGCTGCAACTGAGGTGAGATACAAATTCCTAAATAACAAAAGTGCTGACATGACAATGCACATTAGTTACTGGATGTTGTTATCATTGCTGATATAAAAAAAAAATATACAATTGTCCTCCTAGAGTTGCAGAACAGGTTATACAGCAGCCAACTCAAAGAAAAGCATATACCAACTTTATTTACTTGAACTGACCACCACAGCCAGTAAAGCTACCCTCACTGTGCTGTTCCAGCCTGCACAGGAGAAAACAAATCACTGTGAAAGAGATCCCATCACTGAGAGCCCAGCCTCTCCTCAGCACGGGTGTTGCTCAAGTAAGAGCAGACACCCAATTACTTCAGCATTCTAATCCTAAGTAGGATTTCCATTATCATTAACAACACCTGAATTGCTATACTTGAAAGAAGACATATAACAGGCAGAGGTGTTAAAAAGTATAATAATTGGATACCATTTGGGCAACTGAAATATGTTTTCTATCCAAAGAGTGGTATTCAAACATAGACAAGAAGGTATACTGGGATAGTCTGAACACTGATTCACATCACAGGATGATTCATACTGCTATTAAAGCTTTTTCCTCAAACTCAGATTAGTTAGCATTTGGCAGTTGTAAGATATACAAAGCTTACTGTTTCCTCTACTTGAGCAGGTTGGGGGTGGAGGGAAGAAAGGGAAGAAAGGGAAGAAAAACTGCAAAGTGCCACAGCTTCAGAAGAACAGTCTGCATTAGTGACACTTTCCTCCCCGCAGTGGACAGCCACTCTCAGAGCTGTAACAACGTGTGCAGGGAGATACCAACAGCTTGTAAGGTGGCAAGGATAAAACTACTGCACCATACCTGCTTTTCAAAAACATTCCCTTGCTACCCAAGTCCTCATTAGTCACCGGCTGTGACCAGCACTGTCATACTCAGTGGCACACTACTGGAGGAAAGCATCAAGCTCCTCAGGATGGCAAAAGGCATGTCACAGCCACCTCTGGTTCACATCCCATTCCAAAACAGAACTAGAGGGTGTGGTGACAGGAGAGGAACACACACACTGAAACCACTGCAGACAAAAGCAAAGGTAAGCACCAACTCTGTCTTGCTGTGCCAGAGTCCAGCTCAGTGCACCAGGAGTACAACCCAACCACACAGCTTCAGGCAGTCACACTGATTCATCTGGCAAATCATCCCACAGATTAACTAACTTCAAGATTGGAAAGGTGCTGCCAGGGCTGAACGGGAAAGGGTAGGTGGGATGGAAGGAAGTCCAACTCTTCCAACACCGCCAGATCTCTGCAGCTGACAACTGTTTACCAACATAGTCTGTTACAAAAATATGTCTACACTGCACAGTGCCCCCTAATTCATTAGTTACCAGAGAAAAGTAGAGATGTTTGCACAGGACAATTTGCGCTACTTCTCATTGGCAGTGGTTAGCTGTTTGACTAATTTAATGCCTTTGCAAGGGATATTGCATATCAGTTATTTCAGCAAACAAACATTAGAACTAATGAAACCTGCAGCTGTATGTGAGTCACAAGACTCTGGCAGCACAAGCAATGTCAGAGCTGCGAGGAAGCAACTTCAGTTTTGAGCCAGAGATCACTCAGCACTGAGCAGAGAGGTGCTTGTGCACGAGGGCTGCTCAGGGCACAGGTGCACGCTCCTGGAGACACAAGACTGAGTTCTTATATTTGTCTATTCTTGTGCCAGATGCACCACTGCTGAGTCCACTTGTGTGTCACTCAGAGCTGTACTTCCCTTTGCAAAGTAAATTAATCCCATCCCTCTTGGGTAAGGACAACCAGAGGGCTCCTGATACCCAAGTCGGACGAAGAAATCTGTGCACTACATAGAAGTTTTCAACGCAAGTACTGAATTACCTTTTTTTTTTATCTCAAAATTGAAAGGGTCTATTTAGAAAATAAGGTCCTCTATGTCCTTCTGAGAAGCTTCCAAGAAAGTGGATTGTGGGGAATTGTGGCAGGAACAACTGAGTGGGTATAATGATACAGATGCTCAGATGGTCACTGTGCCACTCACTTAAAAATCATATATAGCATTAAATGAAACAGTCTGTTCTGCTGTGACAGAGTAAGTAATTTCCACAAAGGTGGGCACAAGGAAAACCTTTAATATGAAACCTTCTCCAGGATAATGTTTTTCCTCACCAGATCCCTTTATTTCTAATACCCTTTTTGGGCTCCAATCTACTTCATGACTGTCACCCTCAGCCTCCAAAGCCAGTGCTGTGCAGCGAGTGGGCTGGAGTGAAAGATTTTCCAGTAAGCATGCCATGTAACAGCAAATTATTTCCTCCTGGAAACAGATTCCCATTTTAAGCTTCAAGTTAATTGTTTTAACAATGCATGCAAAGCTAACTTGCGGATACTTATACTTGCTAACACCTAATTACATGTTATAACTGTCAATGCAATTCATTCTTTTCACAGAATCAGTTAGGTTGGAGAAGACCTCTGAGATCATCAAGTCCAGCCTGTGACCAAACACCACCTTGTCAACTAGACCATGGCACTGAGTGCCACGTCCAGTCTTAAACACCTCCAGGGATGGGGACTCTACAACCTCCCTGGGCAGCCCATTCCAATATCTAATCACCCTTTCAGTGAAGAAATTCCTCCTATGTCCAACCCGAACCTGGTGCAGCTTAAGACTATGTCCTCTTGTTCTGTCACTAGTTCCCTGGGAGAAGAGGCCGATGCCTACTTGGCTACAATCTCCTTTCAGGGAGCTGTAAAGAGTCATAAGGTCACCCCTGAGCTGCCTCTTCTCCAGGCTAAACAACCCCAGCTCAGCTGCTTCTCACAGCACTCACCCTCTAGACCCTTCACCAGTTCCACTGCCCTTCTCTGGACTCCAGCATCTCAACGTCCTTCCTGAACTGAGGGACCCAGAGCTGGACACAGCACTCGAGGTGTGGCCTCACCGTTACAGGGGGACAATCCCTGTCCTAGTCCTGCTGGCTGTATTATTTCTAACACAAGCCAGGATGCCACTGGCCTTCTTGGCCTATGCTGGCTCATGTTCAGCTGCTGTTAACCAGCACTCCCAGGTCCTTTTCCGCTGGGCAGCTTCCAGCCCCTTCCCAAGGCCTGCAGCACTGCAGGGGTTGCTGTGACACGAGAGGACTCGGCACTTGGCCCTGTTGGTCTCAGCCCACCCAGCCAGCCTGCCCAGATCCACCTGGGCACATCTGCAATATTTTCACTTCAATATACAGAGTAAGTCACAAACTATAAACTTAAGGGTTTATATATAAAAACAAATCTGTTCTAGAACTCCTAGAACCAGCTAAGGAACCATTCAGATGTAATTTTAAAAGCTAAATAATCTGTTTACTTTCCTGCACAGAGAATCAACAGTTAGACACTAATTTTCCCATAATGAGGACAAGACAATCCTGTATAGACAGCACACTGACTCGAGGCCGAGATCTACCAACAGGGGCCCTTAGGAGGTCCTTCGAGTAGTGTTTTCTTCAACATCGCTCCATCAAAGCAATGGTTTCGAAAAGGTGTTTTCCTTGCTCTTCGGACCTCAAATAACGCGTGAAGCCTTTGTAACGCTTCTCAAGCGGCATTTCTGCCCCAGCCCTCCCGGCGCCCCTCACGCCGGGGCAGTGCCAGCACCGGGCCCTGGTTCGCGGAGCCGCCCCTTCCTTACCTGCGGTGCCTTCCTGGCGGGGCTCCCTCGGGGCAGCGCCGGGCTCGGCTCCGGGACCCCCTCCCGGGGCGGGGAAGGCTCTGCCCGCGGTGATGATCCCTCACGAGGGAGCTCCTCGTCTGCCCGGCCCCCTCACAGCCGGGGGGTCCCGCCGGGACCCGCTCGGGGGGCTCGGGACACAGCGCAGCCCGTGAGGGGGGAGCTCGGGATACACCACAGGCCGCGACATCCCCTGAGCTCAGCCCTCTTTTAAGTGGGTAAAGATCAGCCCCTACAAACACTTGTCCCCGCCCTCTCACAGCTCCCACAGCACGTGGAACCAGGCCCGAGCTCTGCTCGCACTGCGAGAGGCGCTCCGGGCACTGCCCTCAGCTCCGCCTTGGCTGAATTTGGTGCTGCGCAAGCACCGCTGGGCTGGCGGGGCTCAGGTGATGGTGGGCACACCTGCGGGCACACCTGCGGGCACACCTGCGGGCACTGGGCTGAAGGTGGGCTCAGGTGAGCGGGACACACCTGCGGGCACCGGGCTGAAGGTGCCACCAGGGCAGCCCTTGCAGGAGCTTGAGGCCAGAAGCGGTTGATATTCCCCAGGAGGTCTGATCCCGGAGGGAACGCTGCTGTTCTGCACAGGAAAGGGGAAATGCTTCCCCTTGTGCCGCCCGGGTTGTGCTCCAGGGGCAGCCCCGACTGAGCTCAGCCACAGGCGCTGGCTCTGAGGGGCAGCAAAGGGAGCGCGGCGTTTATTGAAGGTATCGATTCACACATTAGCAGGAACACAGGACCACTTCAGGAAAGGTTATCGGAAATACAAATATATTAAGTAATGTCAGACGTAGACCACTGTCTGTTCCACTTTTGTCCACACTAAATGTATTTTTCCCCAAGTCTGGCCATACTGCACAGGTGTGGTTAGTGGCCCTCTTTTCTTTTGGCAGAGGCAGAGTATTCTGTACAGACTGACTTGGCCCAGCAGTGGCATTTGAGAATAGAAATCACAATGAAATTTAAAAAATAAAAAGGAAAAGGGGGGAAAATATAAAAAGACATATGAATCTCCTACCTAAGCTCTGTTTGAGTCTGGCAAGCTACGTTGGAAGCTGATCTTATCCTTATGGCCAAAAGTAGAATACAATGGAAGCCTTGTCCAAGGAGAGAAAATTTACAGCTTTTATTAGGTCTTACAGATAACCAGGGTAGGCTTTAATAGTCACTGTATGGACCAAAAGAGATATACAATTAATGCAAACATGTTATATTACTGAACTAATATTACCACAAAAATTAAAAAGACTTCACCAGACAAAAAGACTGCTTTCATCTGGCTAATCTCAAGAGAATTTTTTAATTGTTTACAAATAGTCTTCTGCAGTTGTAGAGCTGAGGCACTACAGCACAGGCATCAAAAATCTCACCCAAATTCCCAGTTTTATATATCCTGTGACTAAAGTAAAAAAAAAACAAACCCCAAAACAACACATTTCCATACAACTTCAACCTCAAATTTCTTAAGTCTCTTAAATTTGTCTTAAATTGCTGGATATCAAAAACTATTAACATACTTGCTCCTGAGGATAAGTAGCCCCCAAATTATTTTTTTAAGTATACCTGAAATACATCAATAATTTACAAACACATGTCAGGGTTAAATGATTGATAAGTACACAAGTCTTTGGTAAATAATAACTACTCTGTTCTTTACTCAGTTAAAAAACTTAATTAATTTTTAAATCTAGATTAACTGATTTGTTTAATAATTATTTCTATAATGAATAAGGCTCACATGACACAATGCTGAGTGGGATGAATGGCTGTATGTAGCAAAACCTGAATGATGTTTTCAGGCTACAAATCTTGTTAAAACTAAGTTCCTGCTCTGGCTTGTTTGATTTTTGTGCCCTTCAGCCAGCCCCAGGAAGCTGGATCTGAGTGAGAGCTTTCAAATGAACTACATTTCCAACATGTAACCATGTCAGCAACCTAGAAAATACTGTCCATTGCAGGGATACATTCCACAGTAGGTACTGGATTGCATGCTAAAAACTACAACAAACCAATTAGAGTTTGAAACTATACATTGCAGCTGCAGTAATTCCTAAAATGTCTGTTTACCACTCCTGCAGTAAAACAGAGCTGTGCATGTGCATGCTTGGGCGAGCTGAGGTGACTTCCTGCTCCCAAAGGAAACCTAAAGGCACAGGGTACAGGTAATGGGACAAAAATCTGGAAACAAACACTGCCTTCATTTGATTACCATAATGCAGTTAGAGAGTGAATGCTTAACTGACATTTTACTGTGTGTCTACTAGATGCCTTCGCTTTGGCTAAAAGATACTATATCATGTCCTTTAAGAAAAATAGCAGCATTAAATAGATCTTGTCATTTCAGAGAAGAAATAAAAATATGTCTGCTTTAGGTTTGGCTTACAGAGTTTTTTGGCTTTTATTTTAAACATGTCCAAGAACTGATCAGAGTATTTTCAATGCCTGTTACAGTTTTACTGTTCTACTAGAGTTTTTTAATTATCTGCCTTGTTAAAGGATCAATTACACTTGAGACAATAAATAATATAGTTTACAATAAATAATTTTCAAGTCAAAGTATTATACTTACAAAATAATGTAATACTGTAATAGAATCTTCAAGATCAATTCCATTTTATATATTCTGCAGCAAAAATAACATTTCTAGTAGGAAGGAATTACTTATAAACCTAGCAAGATCTACACATTCACATGTGTATGTAAACAACAAGATTTATTATGTTCCCAGAAAAGCTATGCTTTTACAGTAGGGTTTAAGCTAAATTTTATTATAATATGATGGTAGGAAATATATAACAGTGTTTATATTAAGCTTCATCACAAATTTCAAACTGAAAAAAAAATATTGGTGCTATTATTTACAAAGAGCAACTTTCCTTTAACTTCACAAGTGACTGTATCTGTGTGTGAACAGAATGTTAGGGCGAGGCATTCCAGATGAACTGCAGCTACGTTTGGATGAGGAGGATTTCAGGACGAACAGTGAAGGTCCTGGCAATAAATACCTAGAAAGGATATGAAAAATATAGCACAGTTTACAGACAAAGCAACATTCAAGAGCAAAAGAATTAATGTTTATGCACCATACCTTATAATTGTTGTGTGCAAGAAACTGGGTACAGTAAATACTGTTTATAAAACATGAAGGGCAATAGGCACAAGCCAACTCAGAACAGGAATCTAAACTCTGACAAACTCTTTGCAAAATTCCAAAATGTTGTATGAGGACCAAACAGCTTTCTAGACCTTTATGTTTCAAGCCATCTAATAAATAAACAATGAAACCCTGTGTAACACTACTACCAAAGATTAATACTTTTACCATTAGTCAAAAGTTAAGTTGTAAAAAAAAAAAATTATTAGAGAAAAAAAAAGATTTTCAGCTTTGGTTTCCAGCTCTAATTCTCTAAAAATAGACATGTTATCATCACTACTCTTGTAAAGGAAGAAATGATGCTACACCTAGTAATTCACATCAGTGACCATTTATCTTTTAAATTCAGGCAACTGAATAGCTTGTATTTTGTATAATACTACAAGCAATAGTTTATCAAATGCCTAATATTAATTCTTAAATATTTTCATGGTATAATTACCTAATTGTAGAAATCATTAAATGAGCACAGTTAAGTGTGCAAAAATAACATCCATACTAAATTAGAATTTCACATTTAATTATGTCAACGTTAGGAAGGATTAACACAACAAATTGTATAAACCATTGCTTAAAAATTGTACAGTTCTAGTGAATCATGTGGGCTAATGATGAATAAGTTACAGACTGATCACATGGACAGAAACAGCACCACAGTGTGAGCAGGAGACTGTACAGAGCAAACGTACACAGGAGGTTTGCTTCAGCTTCAGAAAAAGCTTTATTATAAAATATTATCACCAATATAGTTTTAAACAACTTGCAAAAAAATAAGTCAGATTTGGAAGGGGTTGATGTTGAGCTTGACAGTTCACAGCGTCACCAGACCGAGTCCTGCCTTTGCCTGCTGATTCACTACAAAACTCTGATGCTTCCCAGGATTCCTTGCCATGTCATAGATAAGATCACTTAGCAACATGTAAGGATCTAGCAGTAGATGTTCTGGGGTTTTTTAATTTTACAACACAGGTGAATTTATATAGATATTAAAGTCTTTTTAAAGACTTTTTATACAGCTTGATTTTAGCTAATTTTTAAAGAGATTTTGGCATATTTTTTGAGCTCTTCCATTGTTTTATTTACACTTTTAATTTTTTGATGAAAAAAGTGTCATTAATAAACATTTCAATGCTCTTATTCAGGAGCATTGTATTCTTCATGACATACAGTGGATTTACAGTTGAGAGACAGTATTCAGAATAAATTTAATTTGTTCTCAGTTTTCATTATCTTTTTCTCTCTCCCTATACAAATAAATTTTCTCAGCTAAAGAGAATATTACCTATGTGTAGTATTTGAAAGCTTTAGTTTCACATACTTTGTTTCTTCATCACAAGCAAACTAAAAAAATTGGTTAGCGCTCAGAAAAAACAAAGTTCTTCAAATTAAATTTTATAAAGTCTTGAAAAAATTGACTTCTCATACATTTCTTGAATTATACTCTGATCTTTTCTTGCACCATACAATTTTATGGTGAGTCAAGAAAACTATTAGTAGCAGTGCAGATTCATTAAAACAGAAACCCTTATAAGTGAAATAGTTATTGTGGTTTTCCCATTTCTAGAAAAATATTTTATTACCTTACAATTGTGGACCATAACAGGTAAAAGCATTTATTTCCATATGTATCCTTCATTTCACAAATTCAGAATATCAGTTACTTAGCATATTGTTGTACTCAGGTATAGATGAAACATTTGTGGAGACTAATATAAAAACTGTAACTTAGATCAATCAGAGTTGTCATGACACTCCATTACTGATACTTGGTATAAAAAGGGCTTAAATTCCTCCAGCCTGTGAAATTTATGAATAAATTCCCTTCAAGCATCCAAAGAAGCACAGGAACTGGAGATGAGAAAGTTCTCTTGGCCCATTCCTTTCACTGCTTTCCAAATGCAAGCCTGTTAGCTGCAGCACATTCAGCTGAGCAGTTTGAATGGTTTGTGGTTGGTCATGATGTAAAATTTTCTGCAGCATTAACAGCAAAAGCAATAAAAACTTCAAGGTTGAAGATTTTCTAGTCTTAGCTAATCCAAATGACTTTACCATACTCCTGCTATAGCTGAGTAGATGTTAATATTGAATATGATTTGGTTTGTGGCTAACATACTTCTGCTTTTGCTGTGACCAAACAAATTCAGTTTCTGATTGGTTTTACATTAAGTGAGAGTGTCTTAAGATCCACATGTCAATAACAAATGGGTTCAGTGTATCAAATAACTAATCTGAGCTGTATCAAGTAAGCAATTAAGTCATAAAATAAGTTTAACAGATAATACATCAAAAGTTTGCTTTTCCCATAATGTTTAACTCATAAAGCCCTTCTATGAAATAATATATATAAGATATTTTATATAAACAAAGCATTTGTAAGTTTATATACACAATAATTAAAATTGCCATTATGGATAGAATTTGGAACCTAAGTAATTTGAAACTGATATTTAATTCTCCACCTATGCCTGTTAAATCCCAAATCATTGACTTCCACAGTTGGAGCATTTCCAGTAATCCCTGTACTGACAATATTGTAATCCCTGCTGTATCCAGTTGGAGAACTAAACCAGCCACTGGAGAATCGGGTAAGTGCCAAATAATTCTTTTACTATATGATGCTGTTTTGCAAGGTTTGAAAATATATTTATGCTCTGTAAGATGAAATAATAAAACTTTCAGCCTATAGGTTTTGGAAATGAACTTTGCAAACCTGTGCAATGCAGTAAATCAGATGGCACTTACCTGACCCTGGGCTGGAGCTGTGCCCCTACAGCATCCCACTGCGGGTGTGAGGCCACAAGTGTCTGACATGTTAGGAAACCTCTAGGAATGCAAATCTGGAAACAGTGACTTTGAGGGATCTGAGAAGGGGAAGAAAGGAAATTTTCAGTTCGCTTTATGGAAAGCCTTTGCTGCAGCTAATTAGGCAGTAGGCAATCAAGAGTTTAATGAGTGCACTCTCACACAAGATCTGTGTATCAAGTCTTCCTTTGGTGGCACTTCATAAGTGGGCTGGTGAGATTGGAGTGACTAAACCCAGGATCAGGGGAAATGTTGGGCAGTTTCCCTTTTTTTCCCTTAAATACAGAGCGAACCAGGCTTAAAGAAAAGTGAAGTGGTAGCAACACAGACTGAAACCTGTTCCAATACTATCCATTACACTTATAATATTCAAATTTATACCTTGTATCATCCCAGTGGTGGCTAATCCCAGTTGGGGATGCTCTGGAATCTGCTGAGTATTTGTACACCACCAGCAGGCAGCGTTTACAGAGCTGCACTATTCGTTGGCAGCACTGCAGTTGCTCAGGAGTCACCACCTCTGGGCTTTTACTGAACATGGTTTCCCAAGAGCTCCTGTTATGGAGAAAGACACAAACTCATGTTTTCTGTCACAAATTGCAATCTAAGAGCTTTATTGCTTTATATCAGATTTAACAGCAGAGGAACGAGAGGAAAAGCATGACCTTGCCTGTGTACAGGAAAGGTCTGTACAATTTAACACAAATACTGGCAAATGCTGAGTCCAAAACACAAATTAAGAAGTTAATCTTCATATGGGAAATGTCCACTGCCATTTTTCACTTGGTTTGTTCCCTTAAGTGTTTATAGAGCCATTACTTAGGTTTAGCAGATAAACATTTACTGTCACATAATTGTCTATGTGTCTTACAACAGGAATAACATAAAACACTTATTATTTTTAACAGGTTACCACCTGAATGCAAATGTGATATTAAAAGAATTAATAAAAGTAACAAATTATTTCTAAATCTCTTCACAGCATAATAATACTCTTTTTTTTAAGGACATGACACTAAGAAATAAACACAAAATTCATTTACAGGAGATTAGTATGTGCTCTGCTTCCTTATCAAAAAAAAAAATCATATGAGGAGAGTCTCTTGGTTTTCTCACTTAAATACTAATTATTTCATCTGGTCATATGAGGTTGGTCTGCTACAATTAAGTGCAACTTGAAAAGCACATCTATAGAAACATCCCTTTTGTTTTCTTAAAAAGACATTTCTCTTTGAAAAGAAACCCACCAAACCCTACCACACTAATATAAACCAGGTATGTTTTAGCACAGAAGACTACAATGGTTTTTTGCATACACCTCAACACCTCACCAGATCAAAAAAAAAGACTAGTACCCTTGATTGTGCAATATGGTCAATTATGTTCAATATGGTCAATTATGTGTTAGTTTTTTTCTAACCATCTGAAGTCAACAATTTGTCTTATTAATTTTAATTGTTTATCATACAGTAAAACAAATGTAGCTTTATGAAACCATCTACATCCCTTTTTTTTCCCCTGAGATTTTCATTTTTCATTCTTTTTACTAAAATAGCACATACCAAGCAGAGATCTAATGATCAAGAGGAACCCTTAAGGCTATTAGCTCCTGTCTTCTCCCAAGACATATATCTTATGAATAGTTAACATACTGCATTGCTTAATATATTTTCATGTAGTCATGCTGTTTCTGAATCAGCACATTAATGCCCCTTCCCAACATGTTTTCCCAAATTGTACACATGCCCTGTGTTTGTGCCAGTCTGTTCTTTAGGCTGGTGCAGTAGGGCAGGGATGAGCATTGGCCTCTGTGCTGCAGAGGTGCTGTCAGTTCTCAGCTGTTCCATGGCCAGAAGGTGCTTCAACTGAATAAACAACAGACTGGGAAGGGACAAACAGCCTTTTTGTTTTCTTCTGTGAATTATGTACTGAGTGTATTCCATGCAGAGTGATCTCTCTACCCATGCTGGATATTTGTATATTACTTTTACTTTTTTTTGTTTTATCTTTTACAAAGCGACTCCTCCTCCAAGGAACTGGATCTTTGCCAAAGAAGAGCTCCACTTTGGAGTCAGCTGAGTCTTGTTCTGCATGAACAAAAAATCCCAGTCTCCCTTGAACTCTTCTGCTGGCTCAAAGACTCTTATCCCAAGTCAAGTGAGCAGCAGAGTTGTTCAAAGGTTTAGAATAAAAACCACTCTTTGCAGAGAAAAAAAATCGAAAATGAAAAATTTTATGCACATTAGAAGATTTGCATGCTAAAAATAAAATACAGAATAGTAACAGTATTATTAAAAAGGAAGGTGATTACAATATTTTATAACAACAAAAGAATTGAGCTTGGACTCAAGACTTCACACACCTCTGCTAGCATAGAGAAGGGATCCAGCAGCTGCTGAGGATTGTACAAAAACAAATGCTTCAGACTGGAAACACAGAAAACTTTTCTTACCCTACTTTAACTTTTGGAGTGTGCTACATTCCCAGTGCCTACCTGTGCAAATCTGAAGGGAAACAGTAAATGTAATCAAGCACAGAAATTGGAACTCATTATTTGTACATCACAGAAGTGACACTGCATTTGGCACGAGGTGTCAGATGCACTTATGACTGAATTCTTCCCTCCTGAGTCTGGAGCTCAAACAGATGTGACAATGATTTCTGTTGATGGCAAGTCCACGTTTGACACAGTGGTCTGGCCTGAAAATCATGCACCATCCCATGGAAGAGTTGACTTAAGGTTCAGATATTTTGAAAATTAGATTATTTTCCCTAGATTATTATATTTGTAAATACATAACTAAATACTGGATTCCACTTCTGAAAAAGTTGGCCTATATTATTAGATTTAATTATACTGTATCTTTAGATGCTGTTAAAACAAGTTCAATGTATTACAGTATTCTCTGGAATAAAAATCAGCAACAAAGTATGCCAGCATTGATTGTAATGTTGAAGTTATGAAGAAGGCTAAGAAAAGAAAATCAGGCTTACCCTGAATTAGAGAAACAGTTCCACAGGCCTTGACCACGGCCCCAGAGCAAGCGACTGAACAGCCGGTTAAACAGGCGGTAGAGATGCAAACTGTCCACGTCTGGAGCTTTCCACACGTGCTCCAGAACTGCACGAACACCTGTCCTGACTATATCCAGAACCTAGCAAAGAGTATTCCAAGTCAAACAAAGCAAAGGCATATTGCAAAACCCAAAACCAGCTGATGGCTGACTGACTGCACACACACACACACACAGAGACTGCAGAGCCATGAATTCCCACAGATGTCTGGGTTTCATTTCTGTGCATTCATCAGCAAACTTTTATTATATGCTTTTTCTGTCAATAACATTTTGCAAAGCCAAATCAAAATATTTTATTTTTATTACAGAAAAGTTCATTTCTATTTTTTCGGTCTGTTCAATACTGGTTCATTTAAATGACAAAAAGAGCTTAAAAAGAAACAAAATGGACACAATTACAGACTAGAAGCACTTAACTAACAACCCAAATACTATGTATCTTCTTTTCTCACCCCCTTTTAAAATATCATCTATTTTACAAAGAACTAAAATGTCCTGAAGAGCTACAAACTCCTCAGTGTTACTCTGGATCAAACCATACTAGTTTACCTGGCAGGAGATAGTGCAGTAAAATGAATAAGTGAGAAAATGATCAGCAAGACATTTAAAATAGCAACATTTATAGAAATGTCATGGATTTATTCTACCCAGAGTACCTTTAAAGGTAAGTACCTGCAGATGTGGTGGGAGAAGAGCTGAGCTGCATTCTGTACAGCACAGACAGCGAGGCAGCTGCACACCCAGCCCAGCACTCCTTGGACACACCTTGGCACATCCCACTGGACTGGGGCTGGGAGGGAGCTGGGACTCACCCTGCCTGCCTTGAAATATCTGCATGTTCTCTGAAGTCAGGCCCCTATGCTCCCTTCACAACCCCGGGAGAAAAACAGTGTCGTGGATTCTGACTATTCCCAGACTTACTGACAGATCTAAATGGTTTTGTGCCCAAAGCAGTGTTTAGGCCTGGCACTGGCACTCAGAACAGTGTCAGATCTGTCCTACAAAAAAGCCTACAGTGCATGTAACAAAAAGTCAGTTAAATCAACATAATTTCCTCTAAAGGAAACAGCTTCTCTGCCTCTTTTCCTGACAGCATCTTCCAAAAGCCAGTCAGACTCGAGTGAGTGGTATAAATGGAGGTATTTATTGATTTGATATAGGATTTTGTAAATGAGAAAGTACAATGCTTTCCCAGGAAACTTTCAGTTATGGATGACAAACTGATTCACATGGTCTCTCAAAAGGTGAAAGAGATTTAGTAGAACAGTAAAGTATGGAAGCATGGTGTAGAATTGCAATTTTTTGGTTCTGCATAACAAACTTGTTTGTAAATAGCCTGATAGGACACCACGAAGGAAACAAAGCATAAATAAATAAAATGCTTGCAATAGCACAAGGAAGCTGTGTAGCACTGCTTAATGGGCAGAAAATCTATAGATACCTAATAATGTCAGCCTTGATGAAATATGGGGTTTCCATGTTATTTAAGCTCTTTTTGAAGACCTAGAATTAGTTTGCATGCATAGGTCTTGCACTTAATCCATGCACATAATAATCCAATGCAAATACAATACTGTCATCTCTGTTGGGAATCTTTATGCATGCAGGTGTCTAGCCCACTAAAATTCACACCCATAGTCTCCTCCTCCCAAAGAGTGAGATAGAAAGAGGAAGAAATTATAACCTAAGGATGCTTCTCTTTTTTTGTGACAGCAGGAGCTAACCCCAGGTTTTGGATTGCCCCATGCCTGAGGAACGGCTCCAGATTTTCAGACACTTCCTTAGCAGCATTAGCCTGTTGTCTTCATGCTTCTCAAGCACCTTTCCTTGTGTCTCACCTGTCTAAGGCTTTCCCACACAAATGGCAGGTATCTGTGGTTGTATCCACCCATTTGAACTCAGTCAGTCCCTGAATTACGGAAGGATCAACCATATATTTCTTTGCAATGTTACACTGACCGGTGGTAATTTACCTGTCTGGGTGGAACAGAACAATTCCACCCTGTATAGCCTCTCTTGCTAATCCAATAGACATGAGCTAAGAACAGTGATGCCAATGTAGAGCTTTTACTTTAGCACCTGGAGTTGAAGAAAACTAAGAAGTGGGTATCTTAGAGCAAGGCACAGACTGCCAGGTACTCTGGAAAAAAAATTACTTTTCTTTGTCAATATGCCAGAGCAGGAAATGTACCAGTTAATTGTCCTTAATTTGCAAACATGGCCTCAATCATCCATTTAAGAAAAGAGACAAGGCATTGCACAAGGGCTGGAAGTCACAAAACCTACATCTTCACTTTTCTAAGTTAATTTCCTTAGCTTGCCTTCATCTTTCTGTTTACTTTAATTTACAACATTTACTTTAACAAAAGCAATTATCTAGGTGTAACAGAACAAGATGTTATGAAAGAGCATATTCAGAACCCTCTGGTAAGCATCAAAACACTTCTAAAGAAATTATGTAAAGTAATGTAACATGAAGCAGTCGTAACTCCCCCCTGCCACAAAAGTCTCTTTTTCTTGAAAGTCTTAGAGGTTAAATTTCTTTTTAGCATGCATTGATTGCATTGGTTTACTCTGAGCTTGCTTCTGAATGCCTCCTGTTCCTGTGCTGTAATTCTTGAATATTACACACTAAGAATATGAGCAGAAGTTTAATTTTTCTGCACCATGCTCAATAATTGTTAAGCAAATACAGCTGTCAGGGATGAACACTGTGAAATCTAGTACATTGCCCAGATATTTTCTTTTTGTGCATTAGAATTTCCCAGTAAGCACAGTGAAGGGGACTGAGATTCGTTTTGTATTTCACAAAGTTGTGGAAAGGTACCTTTGAGACAGATTCCTTACATGCATAAATATTCTCCACCTTGTGCTCACTTCTCCTTCACCCACCTCATTGGAATATAAAACATACTTCTTTCAAATCAACAAAAGACATTTGGCAGTCCTCAGCTGCAATGTCATTGTCAAAGTTAATCCGTTTTTATAAACTACCCTTCCAAGAATAACTATCTGATTGCTTGAAGGGATTGAGGTTAAAAGCAGTTAAAAAAAAGACAAATCATTTCCAGTGCAAGCAAAGATGAAGGGCTCGCTAGTGCTCCAGGAATTATAAGTCTCCTAAGTTGTAAAGGATATCCTCACAAGAAGAGCAAAGTGCCCGTTTCTGGTTGTGCAGTTTTTGTGAGTAACAACCTGGATCAATGTGTGTGATGCTGATCCTTCCTGTACCCCTGGTTTGACATGACTGCTAGTCAAATACAGGGCAGAACCTCCCTTTATTGTGGGCTTTCTGAAATAATGCTTAAAGGAGAAAATGCTTTGCTGGGCAGGTCCATTTTTTATTCAATAGAATCTATTCTAATACTGTGGGTCAAAAACTCAAACAGCCAAGTGCAATATCACTAACTCTGATGGAGTTTTAGCATTCTTGGTCTGAAACTGCTGACTTGTTTAACCCTTATGAATCAAACCTGCTGAGTCAATACACTTCTAAGAATGTTAGATAAAATTAGGTATATAAGCTACTAATCATTTATTTGTTTCCTTTTCTTTCAGCAGATTAAGTTTTAAAGAAATTGGTTTTTAAATTATAATTCAGGATAATCATGCTTCTCCAAATATGGAGCAACATGATTTCCTACAATAGAATTAATTCATATATATGTTAGTATCAATAGCCAGGATTTCAGCATCTCAAGTCACTCCCAGCTACTGCTAAACACCAGTAGAAACACTGCCATGCATCTACTTCAGTTACCTTCAGCAAATGAAATGTGTCACTTACTTTTCGTTGCTTTACTGGATCCAGTTTTGACATCCAATAGGATGACACTTTTGGTTTATGATACTTCCAATTATCCATAATCTGTAATCATTGTAAAACACAAGATAAAAATACAAAAAAACCCAAGTGAAAGCTGGTATTTCGTTCATGAGCATCGGAGACATTTAATGAAGCATTTTAGTTCTGCTTCAACGATGAGAAACCCAAGCTACTGGTTCTGAATGTTATCTGCCAGCATCACACAAATCAACCACCCTTAGAGGAGAATTCTGTCCCACTCAGATGTGGTTTGATGATGTTTTCAACATTTGGAAAGCTCTCAGAGCAGAGGAGGTTTGGGGCCAGATAATGAATCAGGTGACTGACTCACCATGGGCTGTGCTTCCTACACCAGGACACCAGTGTTCATTTACATTACCAGATCCCTTCAGATTTCTTCTAAACTGAGAAAAGAACTTCTATCTTAATTTTTTTCTTTTCCAACCTGGTGTTAGCTTCTTTGCACTAAATATTTAAAAGGGATTCAGACAGCAGGTAATTTCTGCTTATATATCTTAATATTGGTTTTTAATTGCCCTTTAGTTGGGCACTGTTTCATGCCTTTGACAAACTACGAGGCTCAGGACCGTGCTGGATGTGAGAAAGGCTAAGCTGGTAGACAAGAAGAGCCAAAAAGTGTGTGCCTGGTGTTCTTTATGAGCAGCAAACTGCCAGTGTGCCTTGCAGATACCACTCTGAGCTCTCTGCTGTGCATATCTGAGAGCAAATGAAACACGTCAGGATCTGTTTTAACAACATCAGATGAAATATTAATTGTGACATTCTTCTTGGCTTACTTAAAAGTTTTAACTTTCTCCACAATGAAAAATTGCATTTTCCTAACCTTCCTGACTGTTTCTCATATATTTTATAAGGACATAGGAATGCTTTCAGTGCTGCTTTTAAAGTCAGAAAGTATGCAAAGCTCCAAACTTCCAAAATCTTCTGAATTATCCTCAGTTTTGGAAGTTTTAAGGCCAAAGGAGCTCAAGAATCATGGATTGAGCTTTTTACTTTGCTTCATTTCAGTGGTCTAAACAGTGTCTAGCCTGTTCTTTTTTCTTATTTATAGATACTTACGTCTTCTATAATTAATTCAGATTCTTCATCTGTTTTTCCTGGGAACTTGATTCTCATGTCATTGATAAGGAGAAGAGTCTCTTTTGTCAGAGCAGCTTCTTGCTCTTTTGTTTTCTGTAGCAGCAAAGACTCACTCTAAAAACCAATACAAAGCACAGGAAAAATTTCAAGAGTGTCATTAAATCTCATTATAAAGATGTTTGCTTGAAAAAAAAATTTAAAAATAGGGTGATATAAAATATATTCTTTAAATTTATAGACATATTATCTAAGACATAACTAATATACACACGTGTCTTGTACATTAATGCATCACCATTAGTTAGAGTTGTCAAGAAATTCAAGAAAAACAGTTCAAATGTAAGTTTGTTTGAAACAGAATACACAAATATATATTCAATATTTATGGTGCACACAATTTAAGTATAAATTTGGAATTTAGATAACAGACTTTGAATTCAAATTCAGCATTATGAAAAATATTATTAGTCACAAAAATCATCCTTTCAGTTCTTCACTTCAGCAATTGAACAGAAACTGGCAATGTATCATTAAAGGAAGCATTAAAAAGTGAGGACACTTTGCTCCAGTTCTGGTCAGTAAGGGTCTGACAGTGTCTTGGGTTGTCCAGAATTTTGTTTAAAATGTCAGTGCTTTTTATACCCACACTGATCAGAACCCCTACAGTGTCTGTAAAAGACCTTCTCTCGAGGGTTTTCTTTAAAACATTAAGACACTACGTGGAAGTATTTCTGATCCTCTTTCTTTACTTTAACATACTTTTGCATTTTAATTTTTTTCAAGATGAAATTCAAAATTTTTAGGCATTTCTAAATCTTTGTATCTTGTAAACACTACAATACTTAAGGATATTTTTGCTTAAGCGGCGGATAAACATTTCCAACTACAAAAATATACCCTGCTATTTGATACATATTAATGTGGCTGAAATGAGATAGCAAATAGTTCCAAATCCACTGTTGTTTATAACTGCTGTAATAACTTCTATAATTTACAACTGGAAATGGCTTATTCTAAACTTTGTTTCCATATCTTTAGAACATTTGGATCTCAGCAGCCTCCAAAAAATGGCAATATACTGCTCTTTTTTTGCCCAAAAGATAGATAAACTAACACTTTATCATGCACAAATGATTTCTTTTTAGGAAGTCACAGTTTATCAATTTTAATTTTATTCTAGCAGTAATATATATTATATTATTCTTAGTTGCAAAAATAATTATGAACAGAGTTCCATTCAGAATACGGCGCTAAATTATGAGTAGTTCTTATCCATTCTGTAAGTAATTTTATTAACATTATTTTTAGGAAGTGTGACCTAAGCTCTATCACCCAATGTAATTGTTCTGCATATCAAGATCATTTCTGTGGTGGAGCTTTCTCAATGAAAAAGAGAGTATGGTTTCTTACTAATGTTAATTTAAGCAAGTAGCCCATTTTTAATGTCAGATGGTAAGAGACTGTTCTTAATCTTTCAGTAATTTATATTTGATATAAAGTTAATGTGAATAGAAAAATCTATATTAGCCCTGTCTCATTAAACTCCCTGAGTACATCATGATGATAAAAGGGTGCTTTTGAAACTCGAGATAGCTAATGGATAAAAAATACCTTCAGCGCCTTGTTGGGAAGACACAATCTTAATGTCTTTCCAATTCTATTAACTGACTTTAGAGATGGAAAACTCTGGTAAGGAGTATTTCACAAGATGTCAGCACACAATTTTAAAAGGATCCTTTTTCATCATTGTAGACAAAGCCTCACAGGCAAAACAGACAATGAATGTTCTACTGGATAAAAATGATGATTAAAGATAGTAAATACTACGAAGCAAGTTAATTAGCATTACAAAAGGATTTCTCATAATCAAAGCTCACCACAATACAGAAAGGCTGCAAATAGGGGTTAAAAGTGCCAATTTGCTTTGCCCCATCTCCAGATGAATGATGTGGGTGAAGGAATATTTGGGTCAGGCATCAAAGCACTCCTGGCAAGGCTGTGGCACCACATGCAGTGCAGTGTGGGGCTGGGGCTGAGCCCCACAAACACTGCCTGGGTGAGTGAGGATGTGCTCCACATGCAAACACAAGAGAACAAATGCCTGGGCTGGAAGGAGATGCCAAAGAGGATGACAGTCTGGTAACAAAATGAGAATATATATATGGTTCAAAGTACATTGTGAAATTATAACTAACCACACAAATTCTAAACATCTAAAAGTGTTTAATCTGATTATTAATTATTCAGTCTAGTTGCTTATCTGTCTCAAGGAGAGGCTTCAAAAAGAAGGAAGCTTTTATCTTCCCTTTTAAAGAAAGAAAACGACTTCCAGTTATTGCAGTGGCAAATCCTGAAGACAACAAGCACTACATAAATTTTCAATTGTTCACTTTGGAAGTAGAGCTCTACTGCAGTGGTATAGCATACATAAAACAAGTACAGGTTGAAAATTACTTACACCTTCTTCTACAGTGGATACCCATACAAAGTCTTACTAATGTTTTATTTTGGTACAATGTATTTACCCTTGGAGTATACACTGGGTTTGAAATATTGATCTATTTTTGTTACTGTAAAGATTTTGAAGGTAGGTGCATCCTTATTTCAGAACCAGAAGCCCCCAAACAAATCACAGAAAATTTTTGAGAGAGGTAATGACCCTTTCTAGCTTCAAAAACCTATTTAGTAGAGAAGGCTGCCCATTCACAAAAGCTCTTCAGGCTTCCATTCTCACAAAATGTAACATCTCTATTGCTGCACCAGGAACCCTGAAACATCAGTTAGCACTCACCCTGAGTCATAGACAGGTCTAGAGATCTTATATTCCCAAGCAGCTGTCAAAATAACCTTAGGCTTTCTGACATGGTGCAAATTAGTGATGTGTTTATTGAGTTTTGGAGCAATGGAACACATTTTGAATGCAACTGCTGTGTTAACTCACCCCTGAAGAGCTCCCAGTTCCCAGGGTGGCTGTGTGAGAGCCTCTGGCCGAGGATGGGCTGCGGTTTAAGGAGTGGGACCTGTTCACTGAGGATGTTCTGTGCAGCTGCAGAGGGGCCTTGGCTGAGCAGGGCCGTGGCTCTGCCTGGGACTGCAGGGTGAGCACGGAGATGGAGCGGGGGCAGCTCACTGAGCGCCTCATGGGGGCTGGGCAGGACGTGGGGGACGAGTACGAGGGAGGTTTGGCAGCTTTAGTGGAGGGTTTCCAGTTCATTCTCCCTGCAGACAAATTAAATGAGTGAAGCAATTACTTACTATTCTCTTAATGCCCATTTTTCAGTCTTTGTAACTAATAACATACATGATCAACACGTGTGAACACATGTTGTACTACCCTGTATGATGAATAACAACTCTAAATGTAGCAGTCAGTCATGTCAGATCCCCTAATAAGACATAATTTCCACACTCTATAAGAAGATTTATTTCTTCCCCATATTCAGCTTTAATCAAGTAGACTCCAGTCCTCTATAACATCCATAAGATTTATTAGAGAGGGCGTGTGCCCTGTAGGTCAAAAAGTATGTGACTACTGAGTGTGACTTCCTGACCGTAAGAATATGGAAACAGGAGAGAAAATGTGCTCGATGGATCCCATATTTGCAGATCTGGCATCCCTCCTCTGCTCCTGTATAGCTGTAGTTTTTTAATTCAGTCTTCTGCTAAACAAATGCTATGAAAAATAAAATTTTAGAAGCAGTACTACACATGTGCAATCACATTATGAAATCTTTGAGACAATATACTACTAAAACAAAAAAATAACCTGCTATATCTATTAATTTAGAAAATACTTTAAAGAAAATGAAACAAGCAAAGCAGTGTTTACTCCTAAGATACAAATGTTGATACATTTTAAAATACTGAAGAATTTCATATAATTCATCATCAAAGCCAGACTTACTTGGAAAAATGATTTAACTTACCTGATCGTTCCAAAGGTTTGCATTTATTTTCTTCAAGATCATATGAAACTTTTTTCTCTTTTTTTTCATTGTGATCTTCCTTTTCAGTTTCCTCTCCTGAGTCTGACACACAGCTACCACTATCACAGCTACTATCACTACTGTGGTTCTTAATTTTCCTTAAGGAATGTGCACTTTCTGGCATTGAACACAAGGGCTGAAGAAAAAGGGGAAAAAAAAGTACCTGATTCAGGCAGGTTCAGGCAGGATTTGCACAGCTATAAACCCTCCCAAATTAGACTGGAAGTTTGCTCTGTATTTTAGAATAAATGCTTAAATATTTCATTAAATTCACTCCACAGTAACCCTAATCTTTCTCACATGAAGAACAGCATAATATAGTAACGGGAAGGGGGGAATTATTTTATTTCAAGTATGACTTGCAGTAGCAGACATATTGAATTATAGTTTGAAATCATAAATCAAGTGCTATAGAACACTATTTACAATCAGTTCAGGTCCTTCGCTGATATTTGCAATAACTGAAGTTAGAGTTCAGCCATGATCAACATGCAGTAAAAAAACAGGCCAAGGAACTTCAGCTGCTGTACTTCTGAAAAAGAAAGTGATTAATGCACATCCTGCAGAGAGCAGAAACTGGAAGAACAGAGAAAGCTGTGCTGGGTGTTCTTGGTGTCCCATGTTAACATGGGATTCAGTGCCATCAGCTAATGAATCCTGAGCTATTTCCAAGGATACTGCAAGACAAAAATCAAACAGTAGGAGACAGAGAAACTGATGCAAGACCAGAAACGACAAATGAAAATGTTCCTTCTTCCACCTGCCGTCGGTCAGACACGAACAATGCAGTATCCTCCATTACCTCTGTTATCCTAAGCAGATTTAACTGGTCACCTTCTTTTCCTACACATTTTCTTTGCAGTAACTCTCAGCTATAGGAAGCTATGCTGATGGCAACATCTTCCTAGTCATCGAATGGATTGCAATTAAAGCTCAGATTTAAAAAAAATATCGTGATTTCTGAACATACTTTGAGTCAGAGTGAAATAGAACTCTCGGGAAGAATTTAAATTTTCCTAATGTATTAACATAATGTAATGCACCTAGATTTATTAGGAAAGGTAACAGAAAAAAGCCCCAAAACATGCTGTTGCTGCAAGATCCATTTTATAACTAAACATATGCTTCCTAAACTTCCATTCCAGACAAAGCAGGGAAGAGATTTCTGCCTAAAAAGTGACAGCCTGTTTATGCAATCCCAAGCTGTTTGACCAGATAAAGAGAAGTTAAAGAAGAATATTCCACTGAGGAGAGCCCTGACAATTGCTGTTACACAAAGAATACATTGCTGTGTATTTATCTATCTGCCAAAAGGACAGTCTTAGAAATAGCTGTCCTAATCATGAAATACTGTGTATGATAGAAATACACTGATCAGACAGTCCTGATGAGTTAGGCAAGGTATAATAAACATTTTCACTCAAAACACACAGGGGCTTTCCACTTATCACATACATGTTCCTCACACGTTCTACACTAAACAGTAAGAACATCCTGACCAGGACTTCACATCAATTAACACAGAAAAACAAAAAGACAAGTCAAAGAATTATGAAAAGCAATAAGGACAAATGATAGCTAGATCTGGGTTTAAACTGACCTCCTAAAGTAAGAGAGATTTGATTGCTTAGCAAGTTTAATCACCTTGATTTTCTCCTTATGCTAACCTGATTTTTCTGTGATTAAACTCATCTGATCTCATAGCAAAGGATTGAAAAGGACAGTAATTGCTCATTTCCTCTCTCCTAGCTGTTCTTTTCTTTCCCTGGCCCTTCATCCCACACACAGGTACAGTGGGACACAGGAACCCTGGCAGTGTGTGGGTGGAAGGAGACCTCTAAGAGGCTACAATAAGCTGGACATTTCCAGAAAGCATCTCTCAGTCTACACAGAGCTCAGTAACATTTTCATTGCAGGAAAAAAATGCCTTCATTCTGAGAAATTCTTGATTTTTTTCTCCATGGAGTTCCTAATCATGTTCAAATAAAAATAAGGCTGAAATTCCTGGCAATTATGGAACAGTTGTTTATACACCCCCCTACCCTTCATATATAGATAGGTATGTGGAAATGTAGATATTTATACACGTTTCTATGTAGGGAGGAGGATGAGGAGGAAAACACGTCTCCCCTGACTATTCCAGCTGTTCTGTACAGAGTTTTCTGACTGTTCTTTTTTTCTGAGGAAGAGAATGCATCTGACCTCCTAACAGTAGCTTCTGTCAGCAGGCCACCTACTGAATTTTAAGGGGGAGAGACTTTATGACCTTCTAAAAGAACCTTTCCTGTTGGATGACATGATGTGAAGTACCTGTCCCATAGTTGGTTTAGTTTTTTCTCTGTTAGAATTTGCATACGTTACTTTCTTAATATGCAAATAGCTCTTTATTTGTAGGACTTTATGGTTACAAAAAGAGTTTCACAGCTGGATTATTCTCCTACCTGACACATTAACAGGCAATAGTGAGTTCTACTGCCTGTCCCACTGCCCAGATTTCTATATAATAAATATTTAGAGCCTACACATCTCATAGCATCCCCTTTACAAAGAGGTGGCCAATTAATTGCATATCATTGGCCATATGCACCTTACCCCTTACAGGAAAGAGGAGCTGCTCTTTTGGGAAAAGATCCAAGCCCATCCACAATGGGCATCTGTATTTCAAAGGGAGTGCACAGGACATTATACAACCAGGGAGGGTTGTATAATGATTGAGAAGTGCAACAGGACCACAAAAAAAGATGCAGGAATAGAAATCCTGTATAGCATGAAGTGTGCACACTGCAAGGAAAAGAAACAATCTCCCTGGAATAGCTAGTTTCATTGCTTTCCCTTTTGATTCCATCGATTTTATCACAAAAAAAATGGAAATTTCGGTCATAAGCAATGTTTTCTTTCTCCTGTAAGTGCAAACAATGTTGTACTGGTAGAGCAGCTTGTAAGCTACACAGTCCATTTGTCTGCTATAAAAGAAGACCGTGGCATATAGTCTGACTCATAATTAATCAAAATTCATCCTAAAACTAATTGAGAGGGGTTTCTCAATTTGGCCTTAGTACCCTTTTAAACATTTCCAGCCTCCAGTTTGGGACTGGCTTGTGTGCAACCAGAGTAGAGGTAGAACAGATCAGGTCTGTGTGATACAGTCAAACAGGTGGATGCTCTCTGGGGGTTGCTGGGGAAAGACAGGCTTCTGGAAAAAGGAAAAAATGTCACTGAGATGTTAAACTTGAATTAAGTGACCCCATGTTAAAGAACTGAAAACAAACTTCCAGGAAAAGAATTCCCGAAGAATGGGGATTGAGTGTGTTCCTTGGGTGGACTGGATTTTTTTTTCTTCTTTAAATGAATCCACTGCTGTTAAAGCACTAGCTCACAAAATCCCCATATTTGTAATGAGGTCCCTGCAAATCTATCTTAATACCAGATTGGGGATGTAGATCCTCTTTCCAGTATGCATGCCTGTAATAAGATGTAGCCCTTTGGATTCTTGCACATATCTGAAGTACCTCTTCAAGCTCAGAACAATTGTCAGCATTCATTTTGTACTTAAATTCACAGGTTTGTACACCATGTCATCAGAAACACGAAACGCTGGAAAAACATTTACATGCATCAATAAACAAATCCATCAGAGCTCAGGAACACAGATGCAGCTCTTCTAAGCAGACCTGACCTAAAACATTTGGAGGATATAAAAAACATACTTATTTTAGCCAAGCTCAAACTATTTATCTTCACTGGCTTACAGAGATATGCCGTTTATTTAAGGCAAAGACTCACATCAACTGTGCACACAATCAGAAAGCATTAAGCCAAAAATAATATACATTCACATTAAAAGCAGATTTTGGATGTAAAACGGGTTCCAAGATACACTGTACAACTATTTTAGCAAGTGAGGAAGCCACAGACATACTAAAATTATAATTAATTCTTCGACCTTCCATGGTGCCTTTTATTCCATGATCTCAAAATTCCTAATTTTGGAACTAATCAATTAAAGATGAAAGCATTCTTTTGAGATAGGCTATTGATATAAAAATCCTTTCACACACTGAAATCAAGCAATCTCTTGCACAACAGCAGTTGCCAAGCATGGCAATTCCTCAAAACAGTTTAGAGAGGGAAAGAAGGATCTTATATACAATTAAAATTTACACTAAAATATACACTTAAAATTTTAATGAGATTTAGTTGGACAAATAGTAGTGATGCTTCTCTCCATACTTTAAAAAAAAAAAAAGAAAGTTAGTGCCATTCTGAAGAAGAAAACTTCCACCAGGACCAGCTAACTAAATTCCCCACTTAAAATTCCCAGAATACCTGTCTACAGAGTGAAACAAGAAATTGGTATCCAGAATTCAAATACCTTAGGTCCTCGCTGCCTGGTGCATTTTCCCATTAGCTTTTCATCATCTATCTCACACTGCTCCAGAAGATCCAAAATGTCCTCCTCCTAGAAATGGGAATTTCATTAAAATTGAGTCAAAGCAGGACATATCCTGTCCTTCTAAAATTCAAGTAGAAAGTGGTAGGAATTTGAAAGTACCCTGATTACTAATTCCTGAAATAAGACTATGAATTCCTCCACAGGAGGAAATAAAAGCATTTTTTCTCATGCATGCATCTCTCCTTACAAGCAAAATGAAAGTTAAAATCAAGTCTTAACATTTATTAAAAATAAAGGTCTGAAGAAAGGGTTAAACAAAGATTCCTGTAAAACTGCTGGATGATGCCAACTACAAAGATGCAAAATCATTTATTTCTCAGATTTCAAATTAAATCACATTAACTGGTTATTAATATAGTCATTTTCCTACTGTCTCTGACTAAATAAGTAAGCAAACAGGCCGAGGTTTTGGAGCTGGTTTTAGGGTATCTCTTGTTCCAGTCCATATGGGTGGATGAATAGGCTGGGAACGTTACTGGAGGAAGAAGGAGGCAATTACCAGCTCAAAAGCAGTTTCTGCCAACCTCTGGTTTGGCCAGGGGTAAGGCTGAGGATCAGGGATATGGTAAAGTAGCTTAAAGCCATCTAGCCTGTCTCCACCCTGGGTCCACTGCAGGTCATCCAGATTCAAGGATCTGGCCCACAAGCTGCACAAAGAATAATAATAAAATCATGGAAACATTATCAAATGCTATTTATTAGCCATCACACATGATTATCGTGAAACTAAACCACAAGGTCATGAATTCAAAGAGAAGTAACTTCTAAAGCCAACACTTCATGTCCTTCAGTACCTTCATTCTTTTTAAAGGATGATTCATTTCCCGCTGCAGCGAAGCTGCTCTTCCAGCAAGAAAGGTCTGGAAAGCAGTGGCTAACAAAGTGTCATACTTTTCAAGCAAGGTCTTATCATCAGGAGGGTAAATTCGCCTAACACGGGGAAAAAAGGAGAGGAGTTTAAGAGAGAAGCTGAGCTATTTATCAGGCTAAGAACAAAAGTAATGTCACTGATACAGTCTCTTCTATAGTGCATGTGTGTCCCATCTATAATAATTATATAATATCACACCATAACACACAGACTCGGAACATTGCTCTCTAAATCTAATTTTAACTCGGTCAACACATTCGTGTTTAAACCAGCAAAAAGAAAACCATGCAGGTCATTCCAGAGGTACAGCAAAACCCAGTTTTGCAGTGCTCAGAAGTTTCAGTGGGTGTGAATGATGCATGCAGGTGTGAATGATTCATTAAATATTAACAAAATATCACATGTAAAATTTAGAGCCACAAAATAATTTGTATTAGCAATAAAAGGACACAAACCAGAGAAAATCTGAACAATTGCTTTGATTTCATGGGCAAGATGTAAATTAAAGATTGAACATGTACTGAACTTGAATGCTAAATCCTTCAAGCCTCCAAAAAAATAACAGGAAGAAATAGGCACCATAAGAAAGAAAAAGAATTCTGGTACACGGATATATAGAGTGACTCTGATTTTCCATTAGAGCAGCAATGCCATTATTCTCTAAAATCACAGGTAAGAAGATTATGGCAGTATGAGAAGCAGGATTTGGTGATTTATTCATGTTCATCAAGCAAGAATGGGCTTTGAAGAACACCACTCCAATCCATCTGTCACGGATGCCTGAAACACAGCCAGAAATTATGAAGATGGAAAACTTAATTTCTAATGAATTGTAAGGAGTAATCCATAAATTAATTTTGCCTGCAGTGTGCAAAGCACAGACACGGTTTATATAGTGCCAGTATTATGTGACTTTTATGTGTTTGTGAGTCCTTTTTGAACTTTTTACAAAGTTCTTTCTCCTTCTTCCTTTTCAGACTTTTCCTCCTTGGAAAGTTATCTACCATGAGGATTTTGTTGCAATGAAAATAGGATGGTTATAATCTCATTAGACTCAGGGCACTTCTAGAGCAAAAGGAAGATGGTTCCAGTTTATGAAACACCTGAAGGAGCTCTCATTTAGGCTCAGCCAACATGGTTTAATGGTGTGGATTCTACTGCAGAAAAAGTGTCATAGAACAGCACTTTAAAGGAAGGATAATACTTTTAATATAGGTAGAAATAGACTGCAGCTGAAAGCCATTTCAAAGTCATATATGTCCTTTCCAATTCCTCTGGAATTCCCAAAACCTGGAAAGCCCGGCTCCTACTCCTCTGGAGCCAGTGGTGCTTGCAGACAGACATCAACTGAGCCAATGCTGAGCTGACTCCACAGACTGAATCCAAACCTGCTGAGGCTGACTGAGGTTTCCCTGGATTTCTGTTCACAGTGCAATATTAATCCAGGCAGCAATACCAGCACCCAGAATTTCCATGATTCTATGTCTGTGCCTGACAGAAGTTAGTCCTGCTTTGCCAAGGAATCTCACATGGAGAAAACACTGCATAACACTCAGAGAAAATTCCTCTGCATCTCTAGCCAGGATTACTGGATTACTGTCCTTCTCAGGATCTACTGATTCCTCAGCCTTTTCTCTAGCCCATGGTAATCAGAACACACAAAGCTGTTCTGCCCTTTTACAAGAGCACATTCCTCATGCAGTGACACTTCACTTTTTCCTGAGAAAAAAATATTGTTGTGTTCTTATTGAATGACATTAACCCAAAAGCTAAATAAGGAGAACATGTGGCTCAGTTTCAGTCAAGAACTGAATAAACAACCTAAAACGTGATCATTTAATACGGGAGATTTTAAAGTTAGCAAAAAAGAAGAATGTGTTAAAGCACCACGGTGTTTCTCTAAATGACATGAAAATAACCACTTCATCACTTCATTTTACATTTAGGGGTTTTTTTACATACTAGTTCAGCTCCATCAAGAAAGGATGTAATTAAAACTGGGAAAGTTACAAAGACAGACTTTTTGAAAGCAAAATGTTAAGTCATCAAAAATGAAAATTTCACACAAACATCTATCTGTTTAAATGAGAACTTTACTGGGAATTACAGAACATCTGCTCAAAAAAAGCAGTGATGAAGAACAGCAATAAAGGCATTCTGACTAATTCAGAATAAAATATGTAAACTCAGAGCTCCCACGTTCTGGATGAATATTATGAAGAGTGGGCAAATATTCCCGTCATCTCTTACATACTCTGCTCCCTTTCAACAAATATTCAGAGGCCTTGCTTTCACTTCTCATTGAAGCACAAATCAGGAAATAATAATAAAAACATCATTAAACAAAATTTTTGTTTTCTGGCCAATGCCTATTGTAACTGACAAGATAAAGCTCTTGTTGAACATATTTTACCAAGGAATCTGAAGGTACTTATGTTTAAACCTACTAAGATCCAAAATCAAAGTGCAAAAATACAAATATAGTATTTCAAATGTCATTCTATTAAAAATGGTGGATGCACCAATAAATTTTCTGAATTTTTGGCAAGCCTCTGAGATACAAATCAGATTTGATTTCTTTACAGGGGAATAATCATCCCCCTATATTGCCCTCCCTCATCCCCAGAAAGATAAGAATGATCACGTGTGGTTACAGGACAGGTCCATAAAACAGTCATGCTCCTTGGTACACTGAGTGTGAATAATCACATCTTTCAAACAAATGTCTTGCCCAAATACTAGGGTGACTGATGTCATAGAAATTCCTAAGTGCATATAAAAAATTAGAATCAAGGAAAGAGCTACCTGGATAAAAACCTACCTGATGTAGATGTATATATTTTCTATAAATGCCTACACATTTTTAGCAGAAAATTGTCATCTATCACAAATACTTATTTCCATTATTCCTGATGAATGCATTGAACACTTCCTACTAATACAGTCAAAAATATGCACCTGTAGTTCCCCATGTGTCTATTTTCATGCTCCTCTTTGGAAATCTGTTTACGTACTTGTGCAAGTCTTTCCTTCTACAAATCAAGAAAATAAGACAATTAAAACAAGGAGACCATAAACCACGGGCAGGAACTAGCACTTTTTTCCCCTTCCTACCAGTTCCTCTTTCCTCCTCTCCAGCGTGTGCCGCTGCTTCTCCCAGTCCGAGGAGCCTGGCAGCAGTTTTCTCATGGAGCCCTGACCATACAGCCTTTTCTGAGCCTCAGCCTTCTGCTGAGCTAAATTCCTCCTTTTATCACTTGTCCTGAAACACAGATGATATTAAGAAATGTCAACCCAATGCAGCTAAGACGCACTTTCATATCAAGTATATCATCTGTATTTTTCAATCAGTCATGTGTGGTTTATTATATAAAATTAGAATTGAAACACTCACTAAGTTGGGAGTTTATTTAGTATTAACTTTCATGGCTACAATATTCTTAAAGGATACTGTATAAACTCTCTGCTATACTTTAATGTACAAACATGGTTGCTTCTATTTTCCTGAAGTGTAGCTTTTTTCCAACATATCCCAGCTACAGACTTTTCCTGTAGAGGGTATGGCTTTTGACTGTATGTGACAGTATCACCATGCCCATGACTGCACACATATCCCAACTTTGAGACCCCTTTGAAAAATAATTTTTTTAAAAAGTACAAAAATTACTATTACTATTCTTTTTTTTGCAAGCACATATGCAAGAAGAAAAATTAAATTTGGGCTATTTCTATAGCAAAACTGACAGCAAGGGAAACATTTACATTTTGAAAATATGAAGGTGAAAAAAAGGTCTTCATTTTCTCTCTGTCCAATTCAAGTTTAAAAAAAAAAAAAATTAAAAAAAATCAAAGCAAACAAGGATCCAGACTGAAGAAAAGAGGACAAGTTACCGTATGTTGAGAAGTTGTAATGCATTCAGCAGAACACCTTTTTTTACATCATAGTCTATTTTTTGATCCGTTCCAAAGCTTGGGGCACGATTAATCTGAAAAAAATAAGATACAGACTAGTCAGGAATGTTCAGGTTCATGGGGAACACACCTGTTGTAACAGGCTTTGGAGAAATGACTCTTTCAAATATAGCAGATTTACAGAACACATGTGGAGAAGCTCTTTGCCATTTGTATTTTTTAACAAATAAGATTATTGAGTATGACAGCTACTGGGAACCAGGAGCTGTACCTTTCAGTCACCAAGTTATCCAGCCACTTACAGTGGACACCATTCAAGTACTGGCACTGTGAATCCAGTCTGATCCACTTGCACTTGCTGCAACCAGAACATTTACCCCACAAAGTGCTGTTAAACACATTATAACACATGATATGATGGGCTGTGCTGTGGTGCTCCAGCACAGGAAGAGTTAAACTCTTTCCTAGTTCCCAGTCTGAAGGCAACTTTAAATACTACTCTAAAAAGTAACGACTATACAAGAACAAAAAGAGCCTCTAATTCAAGGTCTGCTCAAGCATATTTAAATAACTTTTCAGATACACTTGACAGCAACACCTAGAGATCTATGTTATTAAATCAGTACATAGTGTGAAAACAAAAAATAATTAAATGTCTCAGTAACAAAAAGTTTATAAGCTAAGTACAAGAAAAGAGATTAAAAATGTTACCGTAAGTATAGAGAAACAAGGAAATGCAACTGGGAATCAACAAGACTAAATCACACTCTTAACAGCCACCCTACAACCCTACCAAGCTATGGACTCTGCAGAACTTCCATTTTCAGAAAGCTTTGAGAATGAGTAATGATTTAGTCTAGGAATCCTTTCCAGGATGGCATAAAAATGAACATTTGAGCAAGGGGTGCTAGTGAGAGGCAGGAATCTCACCTTGCTCATGAATGAGCAGTGCTGGTTCCAGGAGGGACAGACACAAAGGGCTTCAGCAGTGAGTGCTAACACCTTGTGCCCCGTGCAAATCAGAACTGGGACAGTTTTGTATGTCCAAAGCAGAGGGAAAAAGCAGTTAATTAATATGTTGTTTTAACAATTTAACTCCATCTTAGAGCCTGTGCAGCTGTGGGACAGAACTGTGCTGCTGGTGAGCCACCCCCTGCCCTGTTCTGGGTCCCAGCTGCCCCCTCACTTGTGCTCAGAGCCAACAGGGGCCTTTCAGCTTTGGAATCAGCTTGTTGGCTGGTTTTGCAGACAGGCTGGCAAACTGAGCAGTGAGAACTGATGTTGAAACAAAAAACATGAAAATTTGGCAGAAATAGTGAAAAGATTTATACATATTTTTTTGAAGACTTTCATCCAAATATTTAATTTTTTAACCTCTTTAGACTGACCTGTTCCTCTCCTATCACATCACATAGGCTGATTTTTTCTACACTGCGACAGTACAAACATTAATTTGCATCCCTTTTTCTTTTCAAGTGCCAATGAAATGTGATGAGATACATTGGAAATGTATTTCCACATGGCTGTAGTCTGAGTAGTACAAGGAATGCAAATACCATCACTCTCTATATTCAGCTGTTTGATATCTGCATATAATTTTACTCATGTAAGGAGCTAAATATTCACTGGAATAAAGTGTCTTTTTTTATCAATTGTGGTCATGGATGAGAAGCTTGAGAAGTCTTATGCAAAAACTGTATGTTAAGGCAATTGATTTTCCCTTAAAATATCCTTCAAAAGAAAGTAATATCCCTTATTTGTCATGTGCTTATCCCTTATTTCCAGACAAGAAATATGATTGCTGACTAATCTGTAAGACAGTAGTACAGTAACCTTGATAACATACTAGTGATATGCCACAAGAGGTATCCTAATAACTGGTTACCAAACCATGTGCCTCTGTCAGCTGAGAGACTCTTCTTTAGAGTTCAGTGACCCATGGACTGGGACATACTCAATTAGGTTGTGTTAATGCAACATCAGTAATTTTATCAGGAAGGCACATCTCGAAGGTTGTTGACAAAACCAGGATTGTATGAGGGACTGCAAAAGTACAAGCAAATGATGATAGTGAAGGCCTTGAAAATCCAGAGGCTCAGATCCACACAGAGCACAGTGGCCAAACTGCATTCACTGCAGGAATGCAGCCTTGGACACTGGATAACACGGGGGCTGGGGATAACAAAGAGAGCACAAGAAGTGATTCCAGGAAATGTAAAAGACTTGTGGTAAAACTTAAACACAATGTGGAATTGCTGGCCAGTGAATGAACAGCCAGCAAGTGGACATTGGCAGCAAAGGAATAAAAATAACCCTGAAGTGAAGCTAAGAGCAAAGAGGAAGAAAACTTCACCATCACAACAGTATGTTCGTCCTGGTGAAGAACATAAGACACTGAAAACTTCCTATAACCACCTCCCCCTCTCTTTTTGGAGAATCAGACCTCTCCTGCCCCGTGTTGGCCTTTGGACCTCCAGGGACACAGGCAGGGAAAGTGGAACATGAGAGAATGGAGTCAGTGCTGGAAAGCTTGTGGATGTGAACTTCAACTACTTCATTAAGAGGAATTAGCAATAATTGGTTGGTCTAAGATGTTCATATTCATGGGCTGTTAACAAAGTTTTGAACAGATTTTGCTAGTTCAGTTACACTTGTGAATGTGTGCATAAGGTTTCTGTTGACCACATAAATCACAAGGGAAGGTGGGTACCCTGCACTTAAGGCAGTTACTAAAATATATGGGATCTTTTTCTCCAGTGATCACAACTGGATATAATGAGGTTGAACAAAGTTGGAGTCCATCCAAGAACCTCAAGTGTATGATTTCCCCTCTTACATAAAATAAGCAAGCTAGGAAATTTTGGTCAAAAAGAGTAAAACTGGATTTTATGGGAACTGAAGGGAGGTCTGGATCTAGGTAGTTGTTGCTACTCAGAAAGGATGGAGGCTGCTGAGACTGCACAAATGCTTGCCAGAAACATTTGGTGCCACAAGATGGCAATCCTGCATTTCCCAGAGCCCTCACTCCCGTAGAAGGTTCCGGAAGTTCAGTAGAATCAAGGAGCAGGAGAGCTACAACCATCAAGGCAATATAAACACAAGTCAACTCAGGAAAGCAGAGTCACTATAATATGTTGCACAATTTATTTCTTGTAATAGTTTATTAAGCTATCTTTATAACAGAAAAGCTACATGAGGCATGGAAACGTGAAACTAGATTTATCATCCTAATCCCATTTTGGCAATTTTCCCATAACGCTGGGAACATTCAGGGCCTTGTGATTAGTACTTGTTACCACTGTTAGAAAGAATGATTCACTTCCCTAAGGGGGTTTTGGCCAGACTGGAATGGTGGAAAGAGATTAAGAGTGGAAATCTGGTGAAGAAGCCAGAACTGTTTTAGAAAAAAAAATTATCTATATATGTGCACATATATACACGTGGAATATATATATTATGTATAGTGCATTTATATACATTGAATATTTGATCTTTACTACACTACATGTAGCATACATACAGTGTTTTGTGAGTGCTGCAAAAAACATGAACAAGCACAGTAAAAAATAGTAGACAAATATACAAACCAAGTAAAGTTTCAAAGTTTGAAATTTCTGTTAGTTTAGTTAAATGTCTGGCAAAGTACTTAGACTTTTGTATGAACAAAAAAAATAGTAACCAGGCATACAACTCCAAGCCCTGAAGTATTCTCCAGCAACTCCAAGTACCAGAGCAGCATTTACTCCTTTAGGAGTTCTCTCTCTCATAAACCAGAAGTCTGGGATAGTATCGTTCTCCTCGGAGACCCATTATCATACATGGTGAATCAAGCCCCCAGAATCCCCACACCTCATGCAAACACGAGAGGACACAGAGGCGTGTCCTTCAGGATGGATTTACTGCACAGGCTGACTCACCATCTCACAGAAGAGCTCTACCAGCTTTTGCTCCAAGGCTGGATGCAAAGTTACATGGACCAGCTTTAAACTGCACTTTAGTAACTACACCCAGTTATATGCAAGCTACAGCAATCTATAGATGGTAATCTGAAGTGCAGCACTAAATCAAAGGGCCAGCAGGCTCCACTGGACAAAAACAGAAGATGTCAATGCAGTACAGACTAAGTTCATGTCATGTGCTGCTTCTGGCGAGAACATCAAAGCCAACAAATATGTCTATGTCTGCATGGCAACAGTGGAGCAATTTTACTTTTCTAATTAAAATTATGATGAGCCCCTGAGAGAAATAAGAATGACAAAATAATTGTTGGCAGTATTAATGGCCTAAAAATGAGGTTATAATTTGGTGAATTACTTGTGTACGTTTTGCTCATCAGTAGCCAAACCATATTCATGATTTACTGTCAATAGACAGATTTTTAATCCATTTTGCTGTCTTCCTCCAGCACCATAGCCTCCCAACCAGTTAACAGAATGATATGAGAAATCTGTCATTAATGGTGCAATTAAAGAGACACAACAAACAAACTTCAAACATTCCTGTTTGAAAATGAGCACCACTTGAGCTTAACTGTACCACTAACTAACATATCAGGGGAGAAATGTTTCTTCCAGTCCATTTATGCCAATTGCTTGCAGTATTCATGTATACTGAATTAGTTTCCTCTCTTTATGGGGGTGTTTTTAAAAAGCATAGGAGAGAAAAAGCACACATATCCCCAAAAGGGAGCAAATTAAGGGTGTACATTCACAAAAGTTGCCAGAGCTGTATTCCACAGCCATGCTTCTGAAGGAAATCCATGTAGCACCCAGTGCCATAATCAGTGTCCTCCAGCTACAGTAACAACTACATTAACATCACAATTCCCATTACAACTTCCAAAAACATCTGAAATGCAACAGCTGTCCAGGAAAACAATTACTTTTACTTGAGTATCCAAAAATCACTGCAAGGTAGTGTTTCCATACGGGTGCTGCAGAAAAAGCACCATTGATGTACTCAACAACAGCACCTCCTGCAATGCACCCATTTCCTTTGCCAGTTTTCTTACCCAGATATGGATTCAGCTGGGGCTTAGTTACCTTTACTCATAAAAATTTCCTTTACAGCTGTATGAAGAGGTTTACCTCTAGGAGCCATGGTTTCAGCTTTCTGTCCAGCAGAATATCAAATCCCAGGACCTCAAAGCAGACGCTGTCGCTGCCCGGTGCCTGCCCGGGCCTGCACATGCGGTACGCGTGGAGAACATGGGGCTCTGCAACAATCAGAGTCTTCACCACCAGCTCCTGCAGGGACACACCAGCATATACTGAATTACTGCGTTTCATACTGTACTATGTTACATTTCATTTACATATCTACTAAAAAAAATTAAAATACCAAACAAATAGTCCATAATAAATAAACTATTTACATAGAGGAAAAAATATAATTTTATATAGTTCTAGACTATATTGTTATAGTTTGTGTGGTACATATGAACTTGGAGAAAAATAATAAGTTAAATAATAAAAGCATATTGGGAGCATAGTACAGTATGGCCAATCTTCACCCATTTCATTTTGCAATATAGTTTTCAGCAAGTATTCTCAGAATCATACATACAGCTCTAAGCTCTAACAGTCTTAGGACTATTCCTCACCTAAAGACACCTGTAATGCAACCACTTCAGTGGTGCTGGTCAAAGTCCACAGATACATACAGTACTGACTACAATATTGTAAATATTCACACATAAAATTCACTTTATACTCCAGAAAAGTCTCCAAGAATTTAAACAGGATGGTTCCTTTGTATCATATTACTTATGTGAACAACTGTTTTAAAGGACTTCTGATCCTCAGAAAAACGTTAACATTAAATTTGTAATCTGACTGAAGTTAGTCTTTTAAAAAACATAATAATCATTTATAGTATGTCCTTTGTGGCATGCATTGCTGAGAATTTGGATTAATAAAGTTTCAGAAATCATTCTGTATTGCAGTAAAACAGAAGCAACTAATTTTCTAAGAACACACAAAATAAATAAGCATTAGTTTGTCTTACTGAAATATCACTCCAGAATTTGGAGACATCAAGATTATTTGTTTCTAGAAACTCAGTAAACCATTTTATGGAGCGTTTGCTTCCTTTGTCTTCTGTTTCATCCCGTTCAAAGTGTTCATTATGTTTATTGACAGAGTAGTTAGTCAGATGCATATACAATTGACTCTAAAAAAGGGAAAAAGGATATTTAAAAAAAACTTAAATACAACTCCAGAATAGTCAATTCAAAATAATGAAAATTTTAAAAGTACATTAAATCAATAATGACACAGCCCAACAGTTCATATTTGTAAATACACTATATGCAGATTTAGTGTTTCCAGTTCTTGGAGATTTATACTGAATGCTGAATGTTCTAACCTTCCTCCAGCAAAACCTGGGCTCATATTTAAGCCAGCTGCAGTCCACTGATCTACCACTCAACATCTGGTTACATAATATAATATATCTGCCATTTTTACAGGTCTGTATGTAAACAACTAGGTAAAAATGTGAAAAGCAATCATGATAACTTACAGAATGATTACATTCCACAAGAAGCAAACAATAAAGATGGTATTTTGTAGTGCTACTTTAAAAGTGCTAAAAAACACTCTGGCATCTGTTTCATAGACAATCCCACATTTCAGTTTTCACTGTGGCTTATTTATGAGAAATGTTCTCATTATAGTGATACTTTAAAATATCTTTTACATATAAACTCATCTGCCACGTTGATATCTGCCAGAATTGCTCATTTTTAACTGGCTGGTAGCCATACATCAGAGGGAGGTAAATTTCAAGACATACACAACATAAATGAGTGAGTACTACAGTTACTTTAAGGAGCAAAATGTCACCAGCATTAGATTCATGTTATCAGTTGAATTTAAAAAAACCATTCCCTTTGCAAGGCCAATTTATAAATCATGGTCTGTAGATTTACATTATCTCCCAGTGCAGATATTAATTTAGCTTTCCACTTACACTGCCATGAGGACTGTCCTCATCACAGTTCTGTCATGTTTGATTACAAACAGGAGAGCAGTTGATATTCTAAGTTGACCATAAGCTTTCTGTTCCATTTGCTCTTTGATAGCTAACACAAGCCTTCTGTTGTCATTTATCTCACTATACAGCCTTATGTTTAAAAAGAACTTCATGAAATTTACCAAACAACTCAATTTAACTGCACACTAGTTAAAAACATATTGTAGTAGCACTAGAATTAATGAATTTCTCCTGTGGCTTCCAATTACTCCTTTGAGAATCATTCTGAAATCTGTTGGTTTTCAGTCACCATAACTGTAATCTTTTCATGAAATTCAAATTATTTCAGACACAAGTAATTATTTCTCAGACTACAAAAAAAATGAAAGTGTTTTGTTAAACACGTGAACTAATAGTCTGAAGTTATGTGGAACAATGTCACTATGGAACAATGTCATCCAGAGAACAATGTCATGAGGGACAAGCCAGGTTATTTCATACAATAGACAAACCAGAGCATGAGCAGTGGTGAGAACACAGAAACAACTGCCTGTTCCACTTATCCTCTCAGAGCATATTTCAGTGCTGCTAATGCCGAGATTAGTAGCAAAACAAAAATATTAAAAGCAAGCTATTCCAAATATAGTACTGGAACTCTTCCAAATACAGCATTTGTACTGGGCTACAAATTATACCTGCATTTTTCAAAGATGCACCAAGACACGGTCACAATTTTAAGTTGCAAGTAGGGAGAAAGGCTCTACATGTGTTGTCTGCTACATAATTACACTGAAGTAGCTCTAAAAGTATATGTTATGGAAAAAGAAATATACAATGGAGTACAGAGTGAGGTATAAGAAATCAAATCTACCAGTGCTTCAAATCCACTTCTTTCTTACACATCTGCATTTCAGTCTGTGCCAGAAGAGAAGGGTTACACCCCTCAACAGGGCAAGCTGCTATGCAGTGAACAAGGGGATGAAAGTGTCCAAAATCTTCAGCATGTTGCTCCCCATTTCTTGGTTTTCCCTCAGTTTATAGGCAGCCCTGCTGATCACCCTAAAGCTGCCAGGTCTGTCCTGTCAGTGGGCACTGACCAAGAGCAGCAGATCCCTCAGTTCAGGGGCTGCAGTGCCCCCCTCCCACACTGCTCCCTCCTGCTGCTGCTGCTGCCCTCTGTTCTGAAACCTTGCAGGACCCTCAGCATGAGCTCTGAACTTCAGGGACATTAAACAACAATCCAGCAGGAGACAAACCTTATTACCACCTCCCACCCCAGCCCAGACTGAGTCTCACATGAACATAAAAGCAAAGTGACTGTTGTTGGAGTGAGTTGATTTACTTTATTTTTTCTGGGTTGAATGTCAATAATTGATATCTTTTGCTTTCTTGTAGAAAACATTTAAATATGTTCGTATGTAGCATACACACATGCAGTCATATAAAATGTTTACATATAAGCAATATGGCTATGCTTGTGATTTTGAAAAGCATGAGTTAAGAACTTTCATTTTAATTTTTTCTCTTCAATGACAATGCAGAAGTTCATCCAGATGAGCATCAAATTAAATCTCACACCCCAATTTATTTTATTTTACCTTCTCCAAATGCTATACAGGTAGAAGTTTATATGCATAAGCAATAAATTGGAATGAACTCCAACTTACCAAATTTGAGTCACTGGGGGGGTGATACTTTTCTGTGCCCATTCTCACCAGTCCATCATGATATAAAAATACTTTTAATGGATCACAGGAGGTTACAAGAATATACACACGTAAATCAAACTTGTAGCCTTCCATAAGAAACGGTTTGTCAAGATATTCCTGAACAATTAAGTGATCCTGAGCTTGTAACTTTTCTCCATTTCTTATTAAGGAGATCCTGGTAAAAACAAAAGTTATTTTAAAAATGTGGAACTTGAACATTACTCTATGAAATACATTTTCATGGTCACTCAGCCAGGCTAAAGTCCACCTAAAGAAAGAGACTTACATATCTAGTTTTTAGGGTAGGGAAAAAGTTCCATTCCCTTACATGGCTTTTGGTTTCCTGTCCTTTATGGTTCTTCACTGGATGAAAACAGGCAATGAGCCATTTCAAAATAACTTTCTGCTTGCTTTGATTCAACAATTTGTAGTAATGGGTTTGCTCTGCACTCAGAAATTGTTTGGCAGAACGACCAGTCTCCAGCTTCTGTGATTATTCCCCCTGCAGCTCTAAAAATAGACTTCCAGTCTTTGTCACAACTTCTGCACGAGGTACAGGCTGCAAAGAACTTTCAGTGCTAACCTGACATACTGATGATGTTTGCAAAGCAGGACACTGATCTGCATGACTAAGAATGGCATAGAGTAAGTTTGGTATTTCTGTATTTCCAATTTCCCCACATCAGAATGAAAAAAGGTTTACATACGAATTATGAACTCCCAGTTTCTAACTACATAGACTTTTAAATAACTGTAAAAGCCAATATTTTCAGTATACAGTTATTAACCTCAAACTCCCAGAACTTTGCTACCTTAATCTTATTCTGTGTTTAATCTTATTTCAGAGTTTTGGTGCTGAATACTCCTATCATACTGAAGTACCTTCCAGGCATTTCTCTGAACTATGCTGGTACCTTTCCCTTCAGCTTATCTTTGTCCTTATCAAGAGGACTGAAAAATGAGGAAATCGTGAATTTCAGGGGCCTTACTTTTCTAGTAATTCTGATATATTTTGAATAACTAAGAGCTTTACTATATTGTACAGTCCAAATTGATATTAAAAGCAGTAAAAGCTACAACTGAAATATGTAGAAACAAGAACTAAGAATACAATTGCAATATTTATCTCATTGGATTTTCACTCTGCAGCCCTGTTACAGACAAAAGTGTTTCAATTCCACTGCAGGTCGTGGTCTCTTCAGGGGTGTCCCTCCTCCAGCATGGGTGTCACCTCCTCCCAGGAGTGCCCCTCCAGCCACACCCCCAAGAGCATTTCCTCTTCTCTCCTATACCCTGCAGCTGCTGCTCTCAAACACGTTTCTGCTCCTCTGCCTGGCTGTGATTTGGGAATGCAATGGGGTGTCTAGGCTGGTCTCAGAGCTGGGAAACATCCTGACATCCTCCCACACCACACCCCCGCAGCTCCAGCCACCAGAGCCCTCCCCTTTATGCCCAGGATGGTCTCACCCCGTAAGTCTAAAAGCAGCAGATAAATTCATAATAAAAGTATCATAAACTTAAGAATTATTTGAGCTTATTTGAGGCTTGTGAAGCCTTCACCCTATACATGGACCTTCATACAACTTGAAATACAATATTCTTACTAATACACAGTTTCTGTTAATGCTGTTATTAGCACTGGATTTCATGTTTGATGGGTGAGAAGACTGAAGTTAAATCACAACTTACCCATGTCCCATTGCACCATTAGCTGGTTTGACTATGAAAGTTTTCTGTCTACGTTTCTTCTTCAGTTCTTTTACATAGTTCTGAAACTGTGTGTATTCTGCAGGGAAGATCCATGTCCGAGGAATAAAACTGTACTCCTGAGGCTGACTCTTGATCATTCTGTAAAAACAAAGTTTGAGTTAAAATCTTCTGACTACTTTGATGTTTCAATCCTCAGGATTAAAAAGCATTTATGACAATGTGACAAGGGAACTTTTTCAACAAAATTCTGTAACATGAAATCAAACTTCTGCATTTCTTTAAGCATAGTTTGAGCTCTGTAACATATTCATATGCATGTTGATATGTTATATTCAAACACAGACTATCTTGTGCATTTTTGCTTATTATCAAATGTGCTTATTATGTTACTGGCATCCATCTCGTTCTTGGCATCCATCTCACTCCTGTTACAATTTTTGGCCAGTTACTCAGATGATTTCCTGCTATTCCTATTCTTAGAAATATTTTAGAAATATGGATTTTGGGGGGGGGGGGGGGGGCAGAGAGATATTTGGCAAGTATTTTAATTTTCACACTGTTATGTGTTTGGGGAGGTATGAGGATCAACACGCACAAAGAAGAGGATAAGGGATATTTGCAGTTTCTTCATGGGTGCAAAAAATATTAATAACAGGCATCAAGATAAGTGTAAAAGAGGCAATATCATTTCGATTTTTCATTTCTACTATGAGCCTACATAATAATCCTGCTGCAGTATGAGATACTTTTTCTTTAAGTGGCTTAAATACTAATGGAAAAAACAGAGCTGTCACCACATCTGTAAGGCAGGACTGTAGCCAAGCCCTACTGGTATAATAGATGTGCTGTCACCAAACTGTGCAGCCAACTCCCCACAAATACTCTGCAGAATCTACAATAGCTGTAGTAGTCCTGCCTGAGGTTCAGTGCTTTCGCAGCTTCATCATAACTATTATTTTTAGAAATCTGATTTAATGAAAACCACTAAATATTCAGGAAAACTTTTTTTAAAAAAAGGAGATATTATAATTCCTGATTCATGCATATTGTTAAACTACTCTCCATCTGCTCTATATTTACAAGTGTTATTACTTTGCCAACTGAGTAGCTTATCTAGGCAGAAATTATCTTATTTTTAGGCAAAAATCCCTCTCCAGATTATTTATCATATGCATCCTGTTACATGTTAGAGACTTGCCATTTAACTTACTCAAGGGTTTCGATGCACACACTCCCTACTCAAGGAATACAGCTTCAAAGTATTCCAGATATATTCATAGTATTTTGTGACTCAAGTACATCAGTCCTATATGCCTTCTCCTTCTGATGCATAACTGGGTAGATTACAAACACTTAATAATATGAAGTGGAATACTTCAGCATTGTTTACAAGTTCTGGGGCTCACTAAAACTTTCAACAAAAGAATTCAGCTCTGTTCTTTCCTCACTTGGCCCTATTCAGAAAGAGCTTAGGAACATAATCAAGTAGCTTGTGGAATCAAGGCCTATTCCATTACAATAGCCCTATTTTTCAGCACATCTGCTGTCCACTGCTGTGGGTAACCACTTTTTCACTGTGCTGCTCTATTCTTTAGCCTTCACAGTCCTTACCAGGAGGTCTGAGAATTAAACACCAAATTATTGTTCTTCTGAGTGCTATTTTAGCTCACAGATGTGGTCAGACTGTGCTCTTGATCTCAGAGCACTTTCTGTTCAGCAGAGTCTAAGGTATTGAACAAAACATAGTTTACTAAAGACATGACTTGTCAGTCCAAAAATGCAAGTTCCACTGCCCAGGTTTCAAAATCCTCTGGCTTTTCAAGTATGAAAGGAGGTTAGTAGGTAGGGATGGATGAGAATGATTCTTGGCCCATGATCAGTTCATGAACCTTTTCAATATAAAGAACAGAGGAGCTGCAAAAAACCACCATTTCACAGATGGATCCATTCATCCTGTGCACCTTCTCCCCCATTTACTGTATTCATTCTCTAAGCACACTCATCCTTCACACGAGGAGCTCTCATCTAAGAGTGCATTCAAAAATGGTCTCTTAAGATCTAGTTGGCCCTACAATGGCACTTCTATTATTATTATTTTTTCTTTTTTGTGTTCTGATTATCACCCTTGAAAATGTTGCTCATGCCTGCTTTTGTTCTCCATTACATTCCTCTTTCTACCTGTCCCATTACTCCACGTTCACTTACTGTGCTGGGTTGTCTTCATTCACATTACACATGCTACATATCACACTGCCCCCTTCCACTCTGCTGCATGTGAAAACCACGGTGTCCTGTGATCCAGACCCTGGATATTAGCTGCAAAAGGAATTCCTGAAGTGCCTTTCCTCCTGAATAGTATTTGCCTATAGTCAGGTAGATTTGCTCTTTCACTCCATTCCCAACAACTTGCATAAAACGGAAGGGTGAGATCAGTATAACATCAAATGTAGAAGTAAAAGAAAAAAAGACTCTACTCCCCACCAGTTCTCAAGAAAGGTTCATGAACTGTCAATGATAGTAATCAGTAGAGTCAGTAATGGGAATAGAAAAGATGGCATGCAGCAGAAAAGCAAGAGAATAGAATTAGTGTTTCTGCCCAATCCTGTTTAAATAAATTTTAAGACAGAACGACAGCTGTAGGGAAAAAAATCCTGCACTCTACAGGAAAGAGCCTGCTCAACCATGTATCCCAACTGACTCATGATTTCACAAGCAGTCTCAAGGCATATAATTTTGATTTTTATAAAGTTTGAATACTAAGCATTGAGTTGTGAGGCCAGTAGTGAGATTAAAACCCTCCTACCTGTACAGATACTAAGTGAAGTCACAACACAGATCTTTGACCCAGAGTTATCAGAGGAATTATTCCTGTCCTATCTGTATGTGCAATCTCAGCACTGAGTAACTTTAAACTGTGTTTCAAACTCAGAATTCAGTAGCTTGAGAGAGGTGTAATCAGACTGTATTTGAAAGAATGTGTACACGACAACAAGAGCCTTTTGTCCATTTGACTAATTCTTTAAATCATAGAACTACAGCAATATGTGGGGATACCACTGTGTCCAAAGCTGCCCAACTGCCAGTGAAAAGTGCTTGTGAAGTGCTACTGAGCCACATGGAGAACATGCAGACACCCCAGCAATGCACAGAATATTCACATGCATTCCACATGCTATGTGTTCTAGTTACAGAACAGAAAAGGGAAGAGAAAGAAACAGAAAGAGGAGATAGCACATTAATTACATTAATAAGAAAACAAATTCTGTTCTGGTAACAGTAAATGCAGTGTAAGTAATGTTGGGAGCCAGAAGATTAATTCTATTAATAATTGCTCTTCAAACTAATTTAGATTAGAATAACCAAAATATTGACACATATTTATCCCCAAAATTTTCCTTATTTCCAGGCTGTCAAATCATTATTTAGTATTGTTTTCTTACAGGTCTTGCTCACAGATTCCCAGTGAGGATAATTCCTCAGAAGCCAGTTATTCCACTATAGTGAGAACGTGTAATTAGACAAATGAGCCTCACTGACTTACTTTTTATATAAACAACAAGATGCTTCACCTTGGGTCATCTGGTCCAACCTCCCTGCTCAAGCAGGGCTATCCTAGAGCACATTGCACAGGATTCCAGATTCACTATCCCTCCACATACTAGTTATTTTTCTGTTCTACCACTATAGGATATATACCTGGGTGTATTATGGATTAAGTTTATTGTACAATGATTCAAGGCTCACCTACATTCTTCAATGTGTAGACAGAGAACTGAACCCACATCATTTTCCATTGAAGTCAATTGGAGAGATACAGTAGCCCACTCCAATACTACAGATCCAGGACCAAAGCAAAAGTTATTAAAGAACTTTGGAAATTATTCTTGGTCCTCTCACAGTTTCTTAGTAAAAATGAACAAACTTTACAAGCAAGAGTTCCATATTGTATTGCATTAAATACTATAGCTGGAAAACTTCTTAATATTAAAAGAAATATTACTTAGTCATGTTTCTTGCCAGAAAATCCTTTCTGCATATCTCTCCCATTCCTGGAAAATGGTTGATTCTCTGAGGAAGTAGAAAAAAAAGAAAGCTGGTTGATACTTTCTACTTTTTCTGGTATACCTAATACAATCATTTAAAATGTTCAACTGCATGCTCAGACAAAAATAATTAGTATTAAATCTAAATTATTTAAGATAATATCTTACATTATACTACATATTCTTAGCAATAGTAAAGATGCTGTAAGTTGTATTCTCCTCCATCAACATAAGTGCCTATTGATTTCATTTCATACATGAGACTATCATACCCTTATTCACCAAGCTATCTAGGAACAAAGAATGCTATAATTTTCTTTACCAATTAATGGTAAAGAAAACAAATTATTTATTCACAGAAACTGTGGAGAGAGCTCTGGCTTGTGAGATACATGACATTTTGCATCTTCTTTCAAACCCTGATATTCACAACACCCCCAACTGGCAGAAAAAACATGAAAGAACAGCCCCAAATACTTAAACACCAGATTCCAAGTGGTATGAACAAATAACTCTGGAAAAGAGAATAGGATTTTAAGACATGCAGTAGTACAGCCCTACTGAGCCTGGTTGGTTGTGTTTTGTGGGGGTTTCTTTGCCCTCCATACCAGTGGAACGGAGCACTGACACATTCCTGAATATTTCAGAGTGAAGCAGTTTACTGAAACATGTCACAGATCTGAACTCCCACCAATCTCCTGTACCTGATAGTTCCTGAGCTCAGCAATCTTCTCCTGCTGCACAGCACAGTCACTCCAGATCAGATTGGCTGTTTCATCTTCATCAGGTGTTTTCTTGAATCCCATTTCTTTTATTACTATACGTACTGTGGAGAAATCACACACATAGGGACTATTTTGAAACTGTAAAATAGATTGATTTTCAAAATTTAAAAAAACAATAAAGATTTTAAGCACTTCCAATATATGACCCTTTGTCTGAGAACAATGTCAGCATGCAAGCTATTTATCTTGCAATATCAGCCTGTTGCAAACCTGCCATTCAAATGTTACAGCCCCTTGCAGTGAGGCAGGAGCCAGAGCACAACCACTGTGGGAACTGAAAAAAGCTTCAGTGTATTCCCCAGTCATCTGGCAAAAGTCCACTCCTACAGCAGTTAGACTTAATCACGGTTCTGACATAAGTTAATTTTAAAACAGTGATGCCTGTAAGTGTCAGTGCAGATAGGGACAGAAATGCCTCCTCAGTCCAGCTGCAGTGGTTTCAAAAGCAAACGCATGCATTATTTTAATTTAAAAAAAAAAAGAAAAAGAAAAAAAAGAAAAAAGACTGATTATGTGCCATACATAACTCTGATGCTAGGAAACAAGATTTTAGCACCAAGCATGAAAATACAAAACATTAGCAGATTTTACTGAAAAGCCTCTGTGTTATAATTAGAGTATTTAAATTTACACTGTTCGTGTTTCCAGGCTTTAAGGAGACTTCCAAACACATATATAACACATATATAGAGGGCTCTTCCCCAGCCATCTTGATTACTTAAGTTTTTACCTTTCAAGGCCCTTCCCTGAGTAACAAATGGGGATTAATAGATGCACAGTGCTCAAAGCTATGAATTCAGTGTTACAAGAAAACCCCAGGTTTCTTACAAAATAAACTCCTTTGGAAATGTCTCACTGTCAGCTTGATGCAAAGTCTGTTAATTCACTCCATTACTTACTAATTTGCTCACATCAATGGCTATTAGGATTAAAACAAAATATGTAGCTTCCTACCAATTTCATATTTTGTGCCAGCGATATTTGCAGTGATGACTCCATTGTTCTTCTTCTTTCTGACTTTTCTTTTAGTTGTGCCTTGATAGGGTAGTTCTGAACTCAGAGTCAGAGGATCAGTTCCACGGTTATCTTTGAAAAATAATGTTGCAACTATCAACATTTTTATATCTCAAATAACATACACAAATGAACTAAAAATAAAAAAAATGTACTTCATCACACTTTAGAGGTACAACTATACTGAATAATTATTAGGCTGTATTAAAAATCCAAGACTGTCATACCTCCCTCATTAGAAAAGGACGGCATTATAACCTAGGATAGTGCAGGAGTAGAGTCCAAATTCTGCTCCAAGTTCTCAGAAAATGGTGAAACTGTCAAAGTCAAATTACTTAAAACTCCAGTCATGCCATTTCAGTCTCTGGCTGTAGCAAAAATTAGTTCTGGAATGGACAGATATCTGTGTGAAAAAAATGTAAGAGAGACTTTGTTATAGAGAAATCCTGAAAAAATAAACAGCAGAAAACTAAATATGGAAACACTTTTAATAACAAGTATAAAGAATTGCTTATTTTGAAAGATTGATCAAGTTATTGTACATACAAAACTTTGTTCATTACAATTCAATTGTTTTCTTTCTGGGAAAAATCATTTGCACATTAATTTTCAAAATGAAATTATATTATCTCATCTTCTGATTTTCATTTGGGTATGGGAGATTTTGGACATGCAAATAGGTAACACTGAATTCAATCAATACTGCCAATTTCTGTCTCCACAAAGCTCAATGAATGGGTTGAAATATTAGGAAAAAAACTCAGGAATAAACCACTTGTAAACACACTGCTACATGACTTGGGCCAAGTCTGCAAGGAAACAAACACTGTCTTTGGCAGGCTGCCTCAAAAAAATCTACGAGTGTTCAAAACATATACAATATGTCACTGATTTTTACATGCTTTCATTTCTTTTCTGCATTTATATGTGTAGCCTGAGTTCCTTATGTTAGCTTTAGATTAGTTTATATCTCTGCTTTTAGTGATCACAAAACTTATTTAAAAGAGATTTATATAGAGCACAAGGAATTTCTTCTGCTATAAATAGCAGAAAATTACAGGAAAGTCAAATTCAGCCATGACTTATGATTGGTCACAAGATTGGATAAGATGTGCATTAACAAAATTACCAAAACATTACTTATAAATCTTCATTTTTAATTTGTGCCTGTCTGTGTGTGTATACATATGACAGAGAGAGAAGAGATGCAAGTATGTTCTGGACAAGTCACACACTTGGTAAAAAAACATAAACCCAGATATTTTGAGCTGTAAGATCTTACCTCCTTTCAAGACAGACATTTACCCTTGGCAGCCCATTAACACAGAAGGATAAAAAGAACAGATTACAGTTCTATTATGACTGCCACAAATGTACCAGGAGCCAAAATCTGCTTTGTAACAAGATGACCAAATATCCCTCATGTCCACTCAGTGGACCAAGTGCATTTATCCACCAAGTAAGACCAGGGGATGTTTTATACACAGATACGATGTCAGACGGCACAGCAGTAACACCAGCCAGTTTGAAGTTTTAATGTTTTGGATGACATTATCCAAGAAGGTGGCCTGAAAGTCCTCCAGCCTGCTGGCATACTAAAATTAGACACAGAGATGGGAAAGCAAAGCATTCATCCTCCTTAAAACCACTGTGAAGGAAGAGCGGTGCTGGGCACAGTGACTCACTGGATATTGCATGTTATCTGTCTCTCCAGCTAAGAATACCAGCAGAGTACAGACACGTTTAGTTCCTGGGGATAATACTGAAGTACGTCTGTCAGCCAAGGAAGGACTCCCATGCATGTACTCAAATGCCTGCCAGTTGTTTCTTTGCTGTACTGACTACACACTTTAAACAAATTTGGAAGAATGCTAAGAGGACTGACATTTCACTGTGAGAAACACCAGCCCTTTGCTAATGCAGCATGATTAACAAGCTGTGATATGCTAATAAAAAGCAAGCACCTCATAGAGTCAAAGAAAACTATCTGCCTAAGGTTACTGTAACACACTGTATTCTGAAGGCTCTCAACTGCACCACATTGTTGAATTACTGCTTTTCTTTATATAGAAACTATTCTATTCTTTTAAGAAGAATATTCTCTAGCATATAAATAGAATGTACCAACACTCAGGGTCGGTGGCTTTCAACCAGTCAACTTTTTAGCACACACATGAGCTGAAAGTAAAGATTGATGGTCACCTTTAGAGCATTCTATGGACAATTCGTAGTTCAGTCATATGGAAAGCAAAGCAATGGGACTGTACTCTGTATTAAACCTTACTCCAGGATTTTCACTTTTCACAAGCACTGTCCCATACTAACACAGTTAAACTGTATTCTGCCTTAAACTTTCATATAATAATTCAAAATTGTTTTACAACTGCTTCACTTCTCTTCAGTAGTCCATCTCCAAACAACCATTTAACCGAATACCAAAACACCAGCAGTTTTCAAAAATATTTACATAGGATACAGTCCTTTCCTTTGTTCCTTTCCAAAGGGCAAATACAGGTCCAATGAAATGGGACAGTTTCAGCTTTTCTTCCCACCATGTGAAGTGACAGATGAGAGACACTGCAGCCCATGTGGGGGATCCATCACCCAAAGCACTGCCTGTGAATCCTACACTAAGCCATGGGAGCAGCAGACTTGTCCCTGTTTAGACCTCCATGCTTTCTGTGTCCCCAGCAGCACAGTCGGGAGAAGCTCCAATTCTGCAGCAAGAAAACCTAATACCAGCCTTCTGAGGAAGCTGCAATCTTTCCAGGTAAGCTGCAACTGTTCCTCAAACTACCCTTCACATGAGCAGTTCTCTAACTGGAAGAGAGTAAGACAGCTCTGAGGGCAGTAGCTGAAGAGCTGCTGCTGAGGGGAGAGAGCTGGAAGGAAAGGGGCCCACTGACAGAGCACTGGGATGCAACATTGCAGGGCACAGGCCCTGGCAGCCACAAGCTACTACATATCTTTCTCACTCTCTTTTTGAATTCTATACAGCAGAAATCACTCCAGAGTTACTTTGTCCTCTGACCCAGGTCCTCCCCAGGCACCTTTCCTTGGGTAACACCTCTTGTCCAGCCCTACTCCCAGGTCAGAGCACAGCTGAAGGAAAAGGCTTGGAGCACACACTCTGTGGGGAGCCTCTGCCACCTGATGGAATTGGCAGTTACAGGCAAAGCTCAGAGCAGGACTCACCTGCACCAGGCACAGTAAGAGCAGCATTGTCAGGTTATGATTACATGGAATTCTGAGTCAGTTCTTACACCTGTGACAAGTTTTTACTTATAAAATCAGCACAGCCCATAACCCGTGTTCAGCTCCAGCAATGTAGAGGCATATCTCACTAGTAGTCTACCTGAAAGACTTGTTTCTAAGAGATTGCTTTTACTAATATAGAAGAAAGTGTTCTATTTTCAAACTGGGACTTAAGGAGCAAGTCAGCTGTCAAAATCTCTGAATTCACACTCCGAGAGAAAAGGATTGCAGTTCCTGCTGCATATACCATTTCTCTGCTGAAATCCTGATACACATAAACTGGTGAAGGTTTGTTGCTCAACCACACAGATTCAAGGGTAGCTGAACAAAAATGGTTAATCTATAAATGGAGAAAGATTTGTGAAGAAGAAATGAATGCATCTTCCTCAGGTTAGCACATTCTTATATAAACAACCACTTTGACTAAAAGCGCTCTACAGGGAAAAAAAAGATGAGATGTTATCTTTACAGCTGCCTGGCAAAGGTGTGAGAGTGCCAGGAGGAGATACATTGCACACAATCCTGCCCTAGAAAGCGACAGAAGAAAAAAAAAGAGAAAAGAAAAAAGGATCTTTTTTCCTGCAGGGACAGGAGAAGCAGGATACTCTTGTTGGGGAGGGAAATGTTGCACACAGACAGAGACCAAAGCAGATGCCTGAGTCCATCTAAGGGAACAGTCTGAGCAAGATACAAAGGTGCCTCAGTAAAGAGCACAGGACGGTGGGAAGAAGTGGTTTCACAGTTAATGGAATGATCCCTGTTTCCTTGATAACAAGTTGTAACATTACAGAAAATTAAAAATTAAGAGTATTTTGTGCTGTTACACGAAGTGTATTATAATAAGTTAGGAAATTGCCTGAAATAAATTCCTCTGGCCTAGATTATCTACAAGTATTTTTTAACAAATCCCACTTATTTCCTGTTATTTGCACCAGACTCCTCACAAGTGACCTCTGCCTTTCACGCTCCTGCTCTTCACATCTTGATGCAGTAGGGAGCTGAAAAGATGATTTTTCATCTCTAAATAGGAATTGCAGGCCATTAGACCCCAGGTTTTTGTTTTGTTTTGTTTTTGCCAAAGAGTAAGCATCGCAGAAAAAGGTTAATTAAATCAGGTCAAAAAAGAGAATGGAGAGTAAAATTCAAACTGAAAATAAAGGAGTGCAACGTGAGAATCTATTCCAAAGAAGTCAATGAGATTCTTCAACCTAACTTGGATCATACCAGTAACTATGAAACTACTACTGTGTTCCCAAACAAAAAGATACTAGATTGCACATTTAAAATGGATTTATTCTAATAGATTTAAGCATTAAAAATGGTACAATCACCTACTATCAAATACTCCATGTTCCAAAACAGAGACAACACTCTGTCATTCAATGTGCTGGTTTTAATGTGAACTTCTTCCTTCCTTCTAAGTTATTGTGACACTACTGGTGGCCAGTTCAAGAGGCTCCATGGACTAAGCATGTGCTTAACCTTACATACATGATCTGAAAACATGACTTCAGACCTTAAGCCATGGTACATATGACAAGACCTCTCAAAGACAACTAACATTTCTCAAGTGTCTTCCTATTTACCTAGGTGAAATACTACAAAAAAACAGATTGCCAGGAAGGTTTTTTTAATTTCCTGCATTATTTGGGTACAGATAAATAATTGATCATCAACAGTGGAATGTTTTAGAATAGATTTTAAAACCAGCAGACTCCTTTCCAGCCCATTAGTGCAATTTACCCAGTGCTGTCACAAGTGGCTGGAAATGCAGTGGCTGGAAAGAAATCCTCAAGGCTCCTGCCATAAGGAGCTTTCACTGTGAAATGGAGACACACTGAAGACACAGTTACAGAACTTGGCAGGTGACCATAGGGTGGGAAAGACAACATCACAGTGCTGCAATCCCCACTCTGCAGTTAGCTGGAAAATCAAAATAACAAAAATTTCACAGAAACATGAAAAAGAAAGAAGTGAAAATAGTCTTCAGAGCATTGACCTAGTAAACATCTGAGTTCTGGTTTTTTTCACTCTATTCTAGATGATAGTTTTTCGGTCCCTTAGATCTTAGAATGCAGAGGTTTGGATACACTGTAGCAAGGGGTTTGCTATTTATTACAATTATGCAAGACTGTAATCTACTGTTGA